AGACTCTAAAATTCCTCGACCGGCACCTGTCGCTTGAGCACGTGGCCACTCCCTCATGAAGTTCTGGGGTGAGGAATCACATTCCCACCCCAGGTGGGGGAGGAGACTGAAATCTGGACAGTGTAGGACGGCCTGGGGGCATCTAGCTGCACCCAGGAGCTCAGGGAGTCTCCTGAACCCACTGCCCTGGCTGTATAGGAGAATATTCCACAAGGAGAAGTAGAGGCCACGTTCAAGGGAGGGAGACTGGAGAGGGGGTGGGGAAGTAATTTATTTCCCCCCTTGTGCTTCATTTCTTAAATGCTCCATAGAGCACTATCTCATTTATTTTGCATGCATGTGTGCACACAAACATGCACACACACACACACACACACACAGAGAGAGAGAGAGAGAGAGAGAGAGAGAGAGAGAGAGAGAGAGAGAGAGAGAGAGAGAGAGAGAGAGAGAGAGCCACATCAGCTTCTTCTGCCTGAGCAGCTCGAGGAACTGTTTTACAAATTTGGAAAGCTGTTGCACCCTTCCCCCATGGGGGTCTGTTGACCAGCTTGTGACCAGAGCTTCTAGCAAAACATTTCTTGTCCCCTCCTCCCAGTAAGGCTTGCTTGCAAGTTCCTGTTTTCTGTCCACCCTTATTGTCTAAATGCTAATTCCTGGTTTTGGCCCACCCTTTGCCAGAGAGCCCTGGGAACGTAGGCTTCTGACCTTGGTGGTTTTCCACCATGCCTGCCATTGGCATATAAGGCTCCACTCTTGTTAAAATAAACGCCATTCTCCTTGTAAGAATGAGCTGCTGTCTTTGTCTTCATTTACATCCTTAGCCCTTCCGTTGTGAAGAGTTGTAGCGCCCATAACCGGGAACACTGGCTCCCTTCAGAAAGCTACATTCTCCTCCACTTTCACTGTGTCCCCAAGTGGACACCCGCCACGTTCTGGTGAGCATCCAAAGGTACCCTGCCTCCCAAGATCCCTCTCAGCCCTGTCCTTCCCGAGTACCTGGTGTCCCTATCTTCCTTGGTACGAATGAACCTTTGAACTCTCCGTAAACCTTCAGCGCTTTGGGGGCTGGGCCTAGGTACCAACACACCTCTGCTCACCCATGCCTTGCACCCTGAACTCACTCACAGCACACAGCTCCTCCGGTGCCCACTGGCACTCTAGAAGTCACTCCACATCCCTAGAGCTCTCCCCAAGGAGCCCCAACAGGTCTTTGGACATTTAACCCACAGGAGAACCAGAAACACGTGACGCTCTGGTTCCAAAGGCCCAGTGGTCCCTCTGAGGCTCCAGAGCCTGGATGCATCAGTGCCCCTGTGACTGCATCAGACACACATTGATTTTTGTTACAGCCGCGAGGCACATCCAATTAAAAATAATCACCCGCATGTTCCAAGTCGACTTTTTTCTTGCCAAATGCAATGACTGAACAATGCTGTTTGTTGAACATGGCCTCATTTTCACAGCTGACCAGAGATGTTCAAGAGTATGTCTATGCTGGCCCATCTGGAGGGCTTCCCGGGCCGCCTCTATCTATCCACACAGGCCCTGAAGGCTACAGCTTGGGCAGCTCCTTGTCTGGGTGTACAGGGTGAAGGTTTATTACTAGAGTGAGCGAGGACAGCCAGAAGCAATAGAAGGGAAGGTTATCTGACCTGATTGTAATCCCTGCCTGAGAAGTACTTAGGAACCTGGGAGGAGGGGCTGGTGAGGTGTGTCGGTAGTTAACGATGCATGGTGCTCTTGCCTTGGACCCAGGTTCGGTTCCCGGCACCCACATGGTGGCTCACAGTCATCATGGCTCAGTGCCAGGAATCTATCCTATCTCTCACTTCTACGGGTGTAAGGCATATACGGTACACATAGGCAAAACACTCAATATACATAAAATAAAATAAACATATTTGAAATAAAAACCTGAGAGCAGGCTAGCCCCTTAATATTTTAAGGCAAATCATAAGCATGTTAGGTTAACACAAACATAAGAGGTTGAGGCATATGGAGAAGAATATGACGCACACCTGCCCAAACCATCTGTTTCTGTGCTTATTGATCAGAATGGGAAGACATGTTGGTTTCAGGCAATGGGTTCAAATCCCAACTTTGCTAACTTTCCTGTGCAACCTTAGGAAAATTACCTCACCCATCTGGTGGCCAATTTGGTCATCTCTAAAATTAGTGACATCACATAGCTGGAATGACATTATCATATAAACCCTTTGGAATATAATGTGGTGGGGGTATGAACCAAACTGATAATCATTCTTCACAGTTTTATGTACCTTTCTACATTTATCCAAATATCTATTCACCCAAGCCTAGACCTAGCTCAAGAGTTTGTACTTAGTTTGTTTTCCTTCCTAGTTGAAGGTAGTAGGGAAAAATATATTGCACACAGAAAATCATTCACCGCCAAATCTCTTTACCTATGGGGGGGTAGGGGAGGGGCGGACAGACAAACTTCCATGTTCAGGCCAGACGACAACTTGTAGGAGTTGGTTTTCTTCTACCGTGTGAGTGTCAGGGATTGAACTAGGCCCATCAGGATTTGTCTCACTTGATTTTGGTGTCATTATATTGTCTTACTTTGATGTGGTGTCTGTGTATGTGTAGGGATGCCTGCTTGCGATGGTGCCTGTGTGGAGGTCAAAGGACACTTTCAGGAGTTGGTTCCTTTTCCCCTGCTGGTCCTGAGGATCAAACGCAGGTCCTCACATTCAGTAGCAGGCACCTTTACTCTCTGAGCCGTCTCGTTGGCCCAAGGGCAGAAGTGTTAATCTTGATGGATTTTCATTTTTATTTTTGCTTTGTGGATCACACATCTGGTACTGCAATTGAGAGAACTTTCCCTTATCCAAGGTTATTTTTCCCTTCTGTGTTTTCTTGGAGAGGTTTGATAGTTTTAGGATTCACACCAAGCTCCATGATCTGCTTTTAGTCAAAGTTTGCATTTATCTTTAGGTTTGGTGGGGATCTTTTGGGGATGGTGTATGTATGAATGTCCAATAATGCCTGCATTGCTTATCCTTTGCCCATTGAACTGCAGCTGCACTGTGCCTAGAAATCAAAAGACCACCCAGTTCAGTGACATCTCAGTCTTCATTTGTAACTGTTCATAGAAGTAAAGTATTTGCCTTAGTGGCAGGTCATCTACCTCAGTGGTGGAGGCCTAAGTCTGATCCCCTGCAAAGAGAGAGGAAGGGATGGAGGGAAGGAGGTTGGGAGGGATAGAAAGAGATTTTCTGAGATTCCTTGCCAAGCCCACTGCCCAGCTGGTCACCCTCTCTTGCTCTTTGCAAACCTTGCAGTCTTTTGGATTCCCACTGTCTCAGACACTGGCTGGTCTGTAGCCCTGGAGTTAGGTGAGCCTTGCTCGGTAGATGGAACTTTGCCCTGGATGATGAAGAGCTGATGGGGGTGTCCCACATGGTATTGCCCAGAAACAAAATGACCATAATTCCAGAGCCCAAGGTGCTTTGCTCTCCTGCCCAGGCTGCTCCCCAGAAGCCCCCTTCTTGCCACTCAGTCACCCCTAAACTCCGTTCAGCCCCAGCCCTAACCATCAAGAGAATATTGAAAGCCTTCTGCTTCGAGAACCGACAAAATCAGGGTGTTGACTGTCCCTAACTCACATGGGGTCATCTGGGGAGGTGACACCACAAATTTTCCCTGCAATTCCTGTAACCGTAGTCAGCTCTGCACTTAGCAAAGCCCCTGGACATGACAGTGTACCTAATGAGATGATTAAATACCTACAGCAGAATTGCAGTTGATTTATTTAATTTTAACCGACCTTTCATGATCACTCCCCAAGCCCTAACTCATGGAGGGAGCACGTGCCCAGGTCACCAGGGCAAGGTTAGTCTGACTTTGGGGTCCCTCCTCCTTCCCCATATTCAACAACTCAGAGCTGCCATGTCCACTGTTTAAGTCACACTGCCCATAGATAATCAAATGAGTATTGGACTGGAAAAATCGTGACAAGAATGTTTCTTTTTGCAGAGAAAATTGGTCTTGGCCAGACACAAACCTAGAGGACCTTGTTAGGGTTCTCCATTCTCGGGGATGAAGCGCAGGCCTGAAGAGAGTCAATGGTCTGAAACTCATGTGGTTGGTGTCTAGGATATTTTTTAACCTCTGTGTTTGACCTAGGTGTTCCACCAAAAAGGATACATGCGTTTGTTTGTTTGTTTGTTTGTGGTTTGTTGAGCAGTGATTGGAGATGTGTCAAGCAATGAAACCCCACCCCCAGCCCAGGCTCTTCCCACAAATACATTTGGAACTGAGAGTTTCAGTGGGAAGCACTGCTCCTTTAATCCCCCTGTATGCTGTGGAATGCCTCCTAACTCAGACTTCCCGAAGAGAGTTCACCTGCCTCGCTTGATCGTTTCAACTGATGTGAACGTTTTTTTAACTTAGCACCCAGCACTGAGGGAACTTGTTGGAAAATGACTGCCTAGAAAATCCCATGTGATGTTCCCATAAAAGCAGGATGTGTGCTCTAGGCGATGAACCAGTCTTAGCCTGGGTGAGACTTGAGGAATGTGGGATTAGCCAGGGTCCCTGCCCCCCTAGCATTCCCTACTCAGCTGACCTGGGAGGAAAGAGGCCCATTCTGGAGAAAGAGACAGCCAAGCCTGCCCGGGACTCTCTGATGAACCAATTTGAGCGGTTCTGCTAGACACTCCCAATTCAGGATGAGTCCACATCTCCAAAATTAGCGTGGCATAGTCTGACCTACACAGTGAGTTCCAGCATGTAGGTTTGTTCTCTCTCTCTCTCTCTCTCTCTCTCTCTCTCTCTCTCTCTCTCTCTCTCTCTCTCTCTCTCTCTCTCTCTCTCTCTCTCTCTCTCTCTCTCTCTCTCTCTCTCTCTCTCTCTCTCTCTCTCTCTCTCTCTCTCTCTCTCTCTCTCTCTCTCTCTCTCTCTCTCTCTCTCTCTCTCTCTCTCTCTCTCTCTCTCTTTCTTTCTTTCCTGCTATGCCAGTGTTCCAAAGAGATTCATCTTCTCCAAATGTCAGGGCTGAATTACAAACGTTTTCTGAGCCCACTCCCTTCTGTACATCTCCATCTTCTCCAAACTCACGCCTGGGATCAGGAATCGACTGTGGAAGCCTTCCAATCTGTCTTTCAAGAGGGATCAGCCATGGGGGAGGAATTGGAATGCTGCAGGAAAGCGGCCCGCCCCCCTCGGCACACCAGAGCCCACAGCAGAGCCTCCACGCTTGCTAATGCAGAATTCGATTATGTGCTGACTGTCCCTGAGAAATAAGCTCTCCCCACAGCCAGGAAGCATGGAAAGCTCAGAGTCAGCAGGTAAAGCCCCCCCTCCCCTCTGCCACCCCCCCACCTCCCGGCACCGTGCTCCGCTTGTCATTTGCAGCCCATGCATTTATTCTAATTCTTTATGCCTTGTTATTCTGTCAATTTCTTAATCTATTTATGCTGACTTTATTTTTAGTGTGCCTATTGTGACAGCAAATCCTGAAATTGCCTTGGTTGTTTTCCGAAAATGGCCGTTACTAAACCATCATGCAGACCCCCGGAATAAAATAATGTAAGCCCCAGGCAGTTAGTGGGAGACCGCAGCAGCTGTCTGCTGTTGGAGCTGCATATCAATTCTGCCCTTGGAGGGCTTGCCTGGGAGCCGCCCCAGGAAAGCTCTGTGTGTCCTGTTAAGATGAGGCTCCAGGCCTTGCACAAAGAAATGCCTGCCGCCTCTCCTTCTGGAGACATTTTTTCCAACTCTCATAACCACCCCCCCCAAGTTTTGTTGCTGTTGCCTTAGTCTAAAAAATGCAAGCGATAGGAAAACCAATTAATCTTTAGAAGGTCACAGTTGTCTCGATGTATTCACAGATGTGCTGGGCACTTTGGGGTGGGGATGTGGTCAACGCACACCTTTATGGAAGGCACTGGCTACTCATAGGTCTCCTGACTGGAGCCTCCACACAGCCATGTCAACACAAGCAGATCACTGTCAGATTGCTCTCCACATGCCCGGAACCTTCTCAGGAAGGGTGGCGTGAGGGAGGAGCCCTCATGGTGGATACGTTTCCAAGGAGGGTTTCACCACATCAAAGCTGTAAGCAATCCATGTTCTTCAGTCAGGCTGGGGACGTCAGGGCTCGGAACTTGGCCAGATAGGTGGTTTGTGATTACAAGCATCTAAGTCCTTCTCTGGTGTCTCTGCGAGATGTCAGGAAAGAAAATGATTTTCTGAGCAAGGTGTGGTGGCTTACACACGCTTATGAGTCAGGACTTGAGAGGCTGAGGGGAGGGTGGCATCTTAAGTTCAAGGCCAACCCAACCAAATCTATATAGTGAGGTTATCCTGGGCTACTTACCAAAACCTTGTCTCAAAAAAGTACTTCCTAGCCGGGCGTTGGTGGCGCACGCCTTTAATCCCAGCACTCGGAGGCAGAAGCAGACAGATCTCTATGAGTTCGAGGCCAGCCTGGTCAGCCTGCAAAACAATACAGAGAAACCCTGTCTTTAAAAACCAAAAAAAAAAAAAAAAAGTATCTCCTTTCTTTGGTATTTCCTCACAGTAGGCGCAGCTCACCTGGTTGCTGCCCCCCCTTTTACCTTTTCCTGCCAATCCCATAATTCCAGTCTCACAGGATACATTTTGCCTGACCTAAGCCGATCACAGTATTCCCACGATTGATCCAGGACAGGCATGTGACCCATGTGTGACCAGTGGGACTCAGGGGCCTCTGGGAGAGCGTCGCCTTTCCCTTCAGAGACGGAGACCAAGTGGCTTAGGGAAATGTCTTTCCACATTGTCCACCTTCCTGATACCCATGTGTCTGTGAGACAGGGTGACCCCGGAGCAGAGAAGCATCCTGGGATGCCACAGGGTCTAGCATGACTACGGGGGTCTAGTGTGACTATGGGGGTCTAGCATGACTACAGGGGTCTAGTGTGACTACGGGGGTCTAGTGTGACTACGGGGGTCTAGTGTGACTACAGGGGTCTAGTGTGACTACGGGGGTCTAGCGTGACTACGGGGGTCTAGTGTGACTACGGGGGTCTAGTGTGACTACGGGGGTCTAGAGTGACTACAGGGGTCTAGTGTGACTACGGGGGTCTAGAGTGACTACGGGGTCTAGTGTGACTACAGGGGTCTAGTGTGACTACGGGGTCTAGTGTAACTACAGGGGTCTAGCGTAACTAGTGTGATTACGGGGGTCTAGCGTGACTATGGGGGTCTAGCGTGACTATGGGGGTCTAGCGTGACTACAGGGGTCTAGTGTGACTATGGGGGTCTAGCGTGACTACAGGGGTCTAGTGTGACTACAGGGGTCTAGTGTGACTATGGGGATCTAGCGTGACTACGGGGTCTAGCGTGACTAGTGTGATTACGGGGGTCTAGCGTGACTACGGGGTCTAGCGTGACTATGGGGGTCTAGCGTGACTACAGGGGTCTAGTGTGACTATGGGGGTCTAGCGTGACTACGGGGTCTAGCGTGACTAGTGTGATTACGGGGGTCTAGCGTGACTATGGGGGTCTAGCGTGACTACAGGGGTCTAGTGTGACTACGAGAGTCTAGCATGACTACAGGGTGTAGCGTGACTACAAGTTGAGTGATGACTGTGAATGTTAAAGACGGGAAGGTGGGAATCCACAAGGCTGGCACCTGTCGGTTACCCAGCATCTGTGCCCATCCTGGACTGCCACCCCAGGCTGCTGGCCACGTGAGCCGCTCAGCTCTCTTCATCAGTATTGTGACTGTGGCCAAACACTTTCCTGACAGGTTAAAGGAAACCTTAACAGTCCTGCTACCTGCAGCCTCCTCCCCTCGCTGCTTTTATTCAGTCCCTGCCATCTCCCTCAGAAACTGCCAAGCTGTGTTTGAACACTAGAGAGAAATAGAGGCGACCCCTCCCTCCTGTCTGTCCATGCCGCTTTGGGCAGGTCTTTCACTAAGTGATGAGAGAATTCAGTTGCCAGGTTCCCAGAGGGAAGGATGCAGGGGATGGCAGACCGGTGTGGGAGTGCCTGGGGAAGAGCATGGCCAGGCACGGATGGAGGGGGTGGGGGGGTGCCCAGCAGTAGATTCACAGATACAAGCAACCACCACCACCATTTACTTTAGGATTATCAACTCAGAAATAAGTCCTGCACCCTTTAGCTACGGTTCCCTAACTATCTCCCCCACCTCACCAGTCCTGGGAGGCTGTCCCTGTAGATTCAAGCTCACATAAATGGAATCATATGCTATGTGGATTTTTGTCACCGTTTTTTTCACTTGGCATGCATGTATCTATATCTTTCTCTGTGTCTATCGTCTATGTATCTATCATGCCTGTGGTAAATATATCATCATTCCTGTTAATGTAAAAAGAAAATTCCACTGTGGATACATACAGTTGTTTCTCCTTATTTTTGCTACGTTTTAAATGTCACCTTGCACATGAAAATACAGTCAGTTTTCTGAACACTCCTAGGGACAACATTTTCATCAACATATGTACTTTCTCATCACTACAGACGGATATCTGACAAGAAACAACTTGAGAGAAGGAGGATTTATTAGGCTTACAGTTTTAAGGGACACATTCCATCATGGCGAGGAAGTTGTGGGAGAATGGAATGCGTCATGTCGTATCTCTGTAGAACAGGAAGCAGAACACAGGGCACCTCAGTCACCCGCTTCCTCCAGTCAGGACCCACCTGCTACAGGTTCTAAATCCTCCAAAAACTGTGTCACCAGTTGAGGACCAAACATTCAAACACATGAGCACACCTCAGATTCAAACCACAACAGTTAATCAGTACAACCCTTGCTTGCTTCTTTAAAGACATAGTATTTAATATGCTCTGTTAATTCACTGACACTGAACTCATGCTCAATGGTCTTGTAACTCATGCCTGAAAGATAGGCCACACCTCCTGCCAAGTACAGAACCCTGCTTGCTGTTGTCAGTCTTGCAGCCGCTCTCCTTGTCTACCTGAGGCCTTTGATTCTTGACCCCTGTTTGTCCTCAAATGACGCTGGGCTTTTCTGGGCAGACTCAGCGTCTACCAGGGGACCCATGTAAACGTCTGGGCTCCTTGTCTTTCATGTCTATGTTGTGTCCTCCAGGCAGAGAACTCCTCAAACTTCGTCACTACCAATCACAGTGCCACCTCTAGAAACATCTGCGGCTCTCATTCTGTACCACCCCCCCCCCCGTGTGTCCTCCAGAATTCTGACTCTCCATGGTTTCTGGAACCAACATGACTACAGTCCACACTGCCTCAGGCCTTCTAAGACCCAGGGCTCCAGGGTCTGTCAGTGTGTTGTGCTCTGCCCCTCCTCCACCAGGGCTCCCAACCCTGGCCAGGTCCAACTCATCAGCCACCATGTTTCCCAGCAGCTCACTCTGCTGATCCATCTCAGTCTTCCCATCCTCCAGGCCTTGGCACGCTGTTGCCATCCCTCCCTTAGCTAATGACCAGCTTCCTTTGTCCTTGGGGAAATGGGAGGACAATGACTTGTTAACATGTCTTCCAACTCAGCCTGGTTTGTACCTCAGCCTTGTCCATGGGTGAGGCCCCAGGATGGATCCCAACACAAGAGAGGGAGAGAGGGAGGGAGGGAGGGAGGGAGGGAGGGAGGCAGGGAGGGAGGAGAGGGGGGAGGAGAAGGAGGAGGAGGGAGGAGAGGGGGGAGGATGGAAGGAAGGAAGGAAGGGAGGGGGGGGGAGGATGGAAGGAAGGAAGGAAGGGAGGAAGGAAGGAAACCCCTCTGTTCCTCCCCGATCACCTCCCCCTGCTTGCTCTCAGGGAACCTCTGGGTTTATTTCTTAGAGTTATGTAGGATGAGACCTTAAAGGCTGGAATGTCATGTCTCTCTGTTCTGGGACCTGGAAGGTCAAGATGGGCAGACGGATGGTTCCCTCTGAGGGCCGGAAGAGAAGGAACACCTGTCGTGTTCTTCTCTGTGGGTGTGGCTGGCTTCCACTCACAGCCACTTTCCATGCGTGTCTATGCCTGAACCTCCCCTTTTGTAAGAAAGTCAACCCCAGGCCACTTCTACTTTCCCTATGTTAAGGCCTTGTCTCCAAACGCAGTCCCATCTGAGGCACTGGGAGTAGGCACTTTGCCATGAAAACCGGGAGGACTAGGCTTCAGCTCATTGTCCCTGCGTCCTACTTCTCACATTCTCTTCTTGTCTTTCCTTTGTTGGTTTTTGAAGCATCTGTTTGTGTGTGTGTGCATGTGTGCGTGTGTGTGTGTGTGTGTGCATGTGTGCGCGCGCGTGTGTGTGCATGTGCATGTGTGCATGCACGTGCGTGTGCATGCGTGTGTGTGTGTGTGTGTGTGTGTGCTCTTGCTGTCACTTTTGTGTGTGCATGCATAGAAAGTATTTTAATATGGCATCTAGGCAGGCCTGAAACTCACTATAGAGTCTAGGCTGCTTCCCACTAGTGGCCTTCCTCCTGCCTCAGCCTCCCGGTTGCTGGAATGAACACCATGCGCCGCCACGCCTGACATTCCTGGGATTTTGCATTTGTGCAGTTAACACATAACTCTCATTGAGATCTCTCTCCCATTTGCTTGCCTGTCTCCCCACCGACACTCTGTGGGCCGAGTGAGTAGATTCAGCCCTCTCTGGCACCTCTTGAAGCCCCACTTTCTCTGCTAGTGCCCGTGGCCACACCCCCACCACCTCCCCCAGGGAAGGGTAGCCTGGCTGCCCAGGGCCGAGCTGCCCCAGGAGGCCTCTGAGGTCATGGAGGGGGTACAGCTTTGCGATGTCCTTGTTGCTGCCTCATCACTGGTCAGATCCATGTCTCCTTCTAGAAACAGAAAGATGAAAACACACCCCACTCACCACCAGTAACTCCAATCCCCACTTCTCTGTGTAGTGCCTAATTGATGGTTATTTATTTTCCAGGATAATCTCATTAACTTTTCTGGAAAGTTATCTTTTGTGTTTATCAGCCAAAATGCCAAAAGCAGGTAAATGCCATTAGAGGAAGCTGCTCAGGCCCCAGCCAGCTGCTGCCTGATTGGACTAAGATGAAGAAGGTTCGGGTTGGAAACCTGAGGTTTTCTGTGGCATCAAGATTTTCAGGAAACAATGTGTTTCCTCCACGGTCAGAGGAATGAGAGGTTAGGTGTGGCCCTCGAGTGGCCAGGGTCAATCCAGTTCTCTGAAAAAAAATTTAAAAAGACATCATCACTACTATCAATAACACTAAATTATCACCATGGTGATCACTGTCACCATCACCACCATGTGTTTATCATTTTCACCACCAACGTCACCATCATCTCTACCATTACCACCACCACCATGTCATAGCCACCACCACCATCACAACCATTGTTGTCATTACCAACACCATCATCGTCACCATTATCACACCACCTCCATTATCATCACTCCTGCCACTGTCCCAGGAATTATTATCTCCATTGTCATCATCACCAGTGCCCATACCACGGTCATCATCGTCTCAGTTACCGAGAATATCAGGTTTTCTCTCCTCCCCGCTCTGAGCAGTGTCATTTATTCCCTGGCTTGCTTTGAACTCACTGTAGAGCGGAGGCTGGCCATAGGCTTCTGACTGTGTGGACACAGAGCAATCACCACCATTCCTGGTTTTAATTGGCACTGGGGACTGAGCCTAGGACTTTGTGTGTGCTAGGCAAGTACCCTACCAACTGAGCTATAAGCCCAGCTCCTACATCTGGCTTTTTATTATGTTTTAACCACAAGATCTTCTAGAAACAGCACCCCATGTCCAAAGCACTTCTTTCATCAAAGATGTGCTAAATCAACTCATGTGATGGTGAGAGTCCTATCTCCCCCTACAACAGTGTTTTCATAACTCTCATTGGCTGGTCGCAAAGTGAGCATGTTCCAGGCTGGGCCAGGGTGCTAGGCTTGCCTGCTCCCTGCTAGGTGCAGCGGCAGCTGGAATGATTCTCCTCTAGGAATGTTTTTGCTGAGCTCTGGCTGCACAGGTGACAACTGCTGCAGAGGACACACTTGTAGTTGGGTTTTATTTGTTTGTTTTTTACTCTTTGGGGGCCTACCACCCGGCTCCCAAATAAACACATGGAGACTTATTCTTACTTATGAATGTCCTACCTTAGCTTGGCTTGTTCTAGCCAGCTTTTCTAACTTAAAATAACCAGTTTTGCCTCTGAGTTGTTCACCTTTCTTTGTTCTATATATCCCTCTTTCTTTTCTCACTCTGTGGCTGGCTGTGTGGCTGGCCCCTGGCATCCTCCTCTCCTCCTTTTCTTACTCCTAGCCTAGATTTCTCCTCCTATTTATTCTCTCTGCCTGTCAGCCCCGCCTATCATTTCTCCTCTAGCTATTGACCGTTCAGCTCTTTATTGGACCAATCAGGTGTTTTAGACAGGCAAAGTAACACAGCTTCATAGAGTTAAACAAATATAACATAAAAGAATGCAACACATCTCCGCATCATTAAACAGATGTAACACACATCATAAACTAATATTTCACAACAGACACTTCTCATTTTGATCCCAAAGGCACAAAGAAAAAAAATTCAGTGGAGCTAAGTGCTACTGAGGTAAACTCAGGAGCTAACTGGCCAAAAGCAGTCATGTGGGCAAACGCAGAGCTAGGGACAAGGGACATCCAAAACCTTGGGGTTCAAACTGATTGAAACAAGACTCATGCCCTGACCAGGATTGCTTACATCACCATTAAAGGGGAGAAAGCCCCCTTCCCCCTCCCATTTCCTCCCCCTTGTGAATTTCTTGCTTTAAGATACATGGCCACAGCCTCTGGAAGCCCTCCATCCAATGGCACTGTGTCCCTTCTTTTGTCACCAGGCCCTAACCCTCTTTCACTTGGACAAGTCAGGTGTGCGGAGCAACAGGGGACACCAGTCCTAATGGAACTAACCCCATCTAGATCATTATGCTCTGGGCAAGTTAGACGGTGGTAACAGTATTGACTGAGTAATAGGAAATTGAACATTGTTTTTTTGCCTCAGCACAGAAGGACCCATGAGCCACATAAACGCTGTCTTACATTTGAGGCCGCTGACGTTGCAGAGTTGGTCACCGTGAGAGATGTTTCAGGGACAGTGTTGCGGGCCTCTGTCACCTCCTGTCTGCTCTCTGGAAGTAAACCCCACTGTTTTGGGGTGTCAGTTTCCATATTGCCTGGAGGTTGGTTTCCCCAGCAATTTCTTTACCTGCCTACTCCTCCCTCACCTCCCTCCCCAACTCCTGTTTTCCCTCCCCTCCTGTATCTGTCACATTTCAAACTTAGAGACTTGCACAAGCCAAGGAAGTGCTCTGGCCTAGAGCTACACCCATGCCATTGTTTTGTGATTTTAAGCAATTTAGTGGCTATGAACTCACAACACCAAAAAAACATAACTTTATTTTCTTGCAATTAACCGAAGTTTTCATCCTGAACTCCTTCTGTGCCTAGGCAGGTGAGAACGGCCAGCCAGAGATCATCTCCCACTTGAGGTAGTTGAAGATGAGTTTCCCTCCACTTTCTCTCAGTGGCATCCTCCCACTTCAGGAATGCTGGGTCAGGGCTGTGTCTCACTGGATATGGTAGATCACCAAGGTTAAGCAACTCTTCACCTGTTTGGTTCATCTCCAGCCTCCCCTGTAGGCTTTGCTTTGGCCAACGAGGCGTCACAGGAGCCAGTACAAAGCTTATGTGGTTGGACTTGGCTTGTTCCTTCCCTCTGCTCTCTCCAAGAACACAATACAGCCGGGCTAGCTGCAGATCCCAGGAGCAGAGTGAGAAGGCTGACTTACTGCGGGCGTATTGAGGGCATTGTAGAGCAGTCAGCCATCTTGGTAAGTGTGAGGTGACCCGCGGTGGTGCAGAAATGTGGGGGTGTATATGTGCTCCTGATCGTAACAGACGTGTGTTGTCACTGACATTTCAGTGGCAGGAAGTATATGATGCAGGTGAGGTCATGCAGTCCGCCCTTCCTACACCAACATTCGTGGAGACCTCAAAGCTTCCTCTCATGCTCATTTATTGATGTGTGTTCTCAAGAGACCCACTGTCCGGAGTTATCCCTCCCTGGTGTAGACAGGTTCCCTGACTTCACAGAGGGCTTCATGCTATCTGAGCTTGTGGCCCTTCTCCTCTGTCTTCTAAGTTTAAATGACTCTGTCTCCATTAATATCCACACCTCCTCAGGCACCAGGAACATGGCTGTTCTCATGGTCCCCTTGGGCCGTGAGAGACTCAAGCAGTACCTGCCAGTCATGGCCTTCCTTGGCCCCAGACATTTCCACGCTGTCCCCCAAGGTGTGGAGGTGTGGAGCGTCCCAAACTCAAGGTGGGAAGGGGCTTTGTGTTCAGATCTTCAAACCTACACTCCTACCCATGGACCACCCCATCCCAGCTCCTCTCAAGAACAGTTCTGAGACTCCTCCCTGATGGTCCTCCCTGCACTTGCACTAGGCAATGGTCTCCTAAAGAGGCTCTTGAGCTGTGGAGACAGCTAAGCCGATGAAATGCCTGTCATGCAAGCCTGAGGTGTGAGGACCTGAGTTCAAGCCCCAGGACCATGATGGGGGTGAGGGGTGGGGTGAGAAGCCAAGTGTAGTGACATGTGCTTACAGTTCCCGCCCTGTGGGGGCAGAGATGGGTGGATCCCTGGGGCTTACTGGCCAGCCCTAGCCTACTCAGTGAACAGTGAACTCCAGCCAGTGAGACACTGTCTCAAAAAAAAAAAAAACCAAACAAAGCATGATAGGCAGCACCCAAGGAATGATACCACAGGTTGACCTCTGACCTCCACATGCGCGCACACTCACTCACACACACACACACACACACACACACACACACAATCTGATTGAGGATACATCTCTTTCTTTCTCTCTGGACTTTGCAGCTGTTGCTGTACTAATTGAAGTCTGAAGAGAGAACCTCTTTCTGATTTGAGATGGTTGGCCAATCAGAGCTTGGGACTTCAGGTGAGCTGGAAGGTGTTCACCAGGCCAGGAGCTAATGGGAGAGGTGAGTTCCAGCATCAGGACCGATGCCGTGTGTGAGCCTCCACACACAGCATGTCAGCTCTCGGAGCCTCGGCTCCTTTGTCTGTAATACAGAGGTTGTAGGAGATGGCGTCTCAGGTCTGCTCAGGCTCTGAGGACCTGCGATTCCCAGGCGGATGCCAAGAATTCGGGTCAGTGCCAGGGTTCAGACCCTGCCGAGCTGACAGGTTCTGCCCTGAAGAGATGGCTTCCTTGAAGTTTCTAAGTCTGAGTCCTTCTGTACCACATGTCTGATCACAGCTGCATCCCTATGCAGGCATCACAGGGCAACAGGACAAAGATCATGGGCTTGACGTTAACATCTGGGGTGATCTAGTCAGTGCTCTCTAGAGGAGTGGAGCCAACAGAACGTATTACAAGGCGGGTATTAGACTGGCTTACACAGCTACAGTTGGTACAGGGGTGGGGGCTGGGAACCCAGGAGCTGTTCAGTCCCCATGGCTGAATGTTTCAACAGTCCCACTTGGATGCCAAAGACCTGGAGGTTCCCTGAAGAGCTGCTGGTCAAAGAAGTTAGGTGTAGTGACAGCAAAGAATGTCACCAGCAGCAACTAACAGACTCACTCACCACCAGGGAGCCAGGGCAGGCAAGCAAGCAGCATTCTTTCTCTTGATTCTTTGCGTGGGCCACCAACAGAAGGCGACACCCACTCTGGGGGCAGGTCTCTTCCTCCTTCAGTCAGTTCTTCCTGGGAACACACTCACAGAGCTCCCTAGAGGTGTGTTTCTGTCTCACTCTCCTCTCTCTTAAAAAGCTTATTTTTAATTTTAAGGGTGTGTGTGTGTGTGTGTCTGTGTGTGTGTGTGTGTGTGTAGGGGTTTGTACACGTGAATACATTGCCCTTGGAGACCAGAAGAGTGCATTGGATCCTCTGGAACTGGAGTTATAGGGATTGTGAGACACCTGAAGTGGATGCTGGGGACCAAACTTAGGTCCTCCTGGGCAAGAGCAGTGTGTGATCTAAATGCATCTCTCCACCCACAGAGCTGCATCTCTTAATGAGTCTGGGTTCAACTAAGTTGACAATCACTACAAACCTTCCCGTGACATCGTGTTAGGAGGTGGTCAGCGGGAAACAACTTGTAATGGCCAACAGTGGCTTCTGCCATAGGATATTTATTTACTCAACAAGGAGTTCTTGAGACAGGTGGTCCTAAGGACAGTCAGTGTGTTGTCCTTGACCTGGGTGCGGCCCAAATTTTCATGCTGCATCTTCAGCCTGTTGGCCTTGTCTATGTCACCTCAGGCATCTAAGAAGGCTGCCACGTGCCATACTACACTTACATGCACTGCATGTCTACAGGTAGGAAAGAACAGTGGTCTTGGTGAGGGGATTTGTCCTCAAGTCCCCCCCCCATCCCCACTTACTCAGAGAGAAACCATTTCTCAAAAGCCCTCGTGCATCTCTTTGGCCAGAATGGGTCACATGATCTTCCGTGCCAAGTACCAGCTGGAGAAGGACAGCTGAAACGGATGGAAAGTCGTCCCCTCGGGCCAGCCGGATTGCCATGAAGGATGAGGTGGTACTAGGCGGGAGAGGCAGGCTGGAGGTTAGTCGGCAGCGGACAGGAGCGCAACTGGTTTTTAGTTTGGCTATCAGTTAATTATCCATGCTGAGCCAACCATTTGACTTCTCTCAGCCCCATATTCAGCGTCTGAAAAAGTGGAGCGATCATACATTGTGAAGTTGTTTTCTTGGGAAACAAAGTCATGTAGTACCGGTGATGTAGTCAGTGCTGTTGTGGGTATTTTTAAATCGTGTGTATCCTTCACAAGATCAGACCAGTAACATCCCAGCATGGAAGTGGGCAGGGCTCCTGGGCCCCTCTGCCTGGCTGAGGAGCCACTGATAGTTGACTGACTTCTGGCTCAGGGAGAGTCAGTTGTCTTTAAGGCTGTGGCTCCTGGTTGGTTGGGCACAGTCCGAGGGGGAGGCTCCCCACACAGTACAAACTCAACTCAGTGGATTGTTTTTCAAAAAGAAAGAACAAGAGGACACAGAGTCGGGAGGGGCAAGAGGCGAAGGCAGGCCTAAAGGAAGTAAGGGGTGACTATAGTCAAACTATGTAGTAGGCACTATGAAATTCTCAAACAATTAATAAAAATACTATAACCGTTAAAGTAGACTAAAGCGAGAGCAGGAAGAAGTAAGATAAAATGTGAGCCACCCCCCAGATTTGAGAGTTCTTCCCTCTGCTCTGAAGACAGCCTGTATCCGGCTGCCTGCAGGATCCCAAGGGGAGACGGCGAGCAGGGCACATGTGGTGGCATTGGTGACATGCTCATGTGTGTGGATGCACGGGGCGGAGGTTGCCGTCACGTGTCTCCCTCAAGTGCTTAGCACCTTAGTTCTGAGTCAGGATTTCTAACTGAACCTGGAGCTCAGCAGTTCAGCTAGCCTGGCTGGCCAGCAAGCCCCAGGGATCCTCTTGTCTTTGTTTCCCTAAAGTGGGGGCTGCAGGCACCCACTGCCACCCCTACCATTTTTTTGTGGGTGCTGGGGGTACGAAATCAGTCGCCATTCTTGGGTGGCTAGCACATTACTGCCTAAGCCGCCCCCCACCTCAAGCATGCGTGACTGTGCCGTGATACACCATGTCCCCCCAACCAGCAGCACTTGCCTGTCTTCTGTTACTATGGATGACAGTGGCCAGGGCAGCCCTGCAGAGCCATCTATTCCCAATTTTCAGTTCCAATAAACCCTCTCTCCGTGACAAGACACGCGTGAGCATTGCCAGAGTCAACATGCTTGGCTGCAGTGTTCACGCCGCGGCACCTGCTGCTCTGACCGGGCTCTCTGCAGTTTTGTACATATTGGTTTTGGACAGTGATGGCAGCAGTTCTGACTTCTGATGTCTTATGGGGGCAGATCTGGCATCTGGTGACATTGCCTCTGACTGTGGGGGCTCACTGAGCTGGCCCCGTGCTGGAGCCAGCTTTGGGAGACGAGAAGGGCGTCTGCTTGGGCACACACTGCCTCTGCAGACCCCCGCTGGCCTGTCCCATGGCACCCCGAGCTTGCAAATCTCTCTAGAGAGAGCGCTGCCATCTGCTGCTCTTTCTCCGGTGACCGTGACCTGTCAGCTCTAGCTCCACTGTGGGAACACCAGACCTTGAGCAGAGACCCACCTCCCCTTCTGCCTGGGAGTAGGCAACTGTAAGACAATGTTTAGTAAAAACATGTTTACTAAAAACGATACAATGCCTGGGGCAATAAGTTCCTGGAAAAGGCCTTCCCATGGAAACCGCCCTGACCTCGACCTTGTCCAAAGACTAACCGCCCCTTCAGACCCACCCACATCCACCTCTGGGGGGAGAGCAGAACCAGCCATGGGAGAGGAGAGAGCAGAAGCTTCTCTGGTGGGAGCTTTTCTTAGGAGGTTTTCTTGAACCTTTTTGGAGCCTGCTTAAAGTTTTCTTTATATCGTTGAATGAGTCTCTGTGTTGTCAATCCCTGACACCCTCCGCATGTTCTCGGACACAGGCCGCGCAGCAGACGTGACACTCCACAGTAGATTCCTTCTTTTGGTCCAGCTGGGACAGCCACCACCAGCACAACAGATCTTAATCGGCGGCCGGAGATCTCTCTGCTGCTGCCCGTGAACTTCATGAGACTTTGGAGGTACATGAGTAGCAACGTCCACATCCTCCCGGTCTCAGAGTTCCACACACCCCGCCCCTCCCTCCACTCCAGCCCCTGTCCCGTCTCGGGGCCAGTTTCATAGGAGAGACTGTGCCTAGCCTAGCGTCCACTCTGCTGCCCCCTGAACAGTTTTAAACCAGAGGACTCTGGGGCAGCTCTGGCATCAGGGTGAGAGCCAATGTCACCTGAGTGCTCCATCCCTTCCGAAGAAGGCCCATCATCGGTTCAGGTTTGAGGACAAACGGCCGTGTCACCCACCAAAGAGGCCCAACCAACCCTGGTCCCAAACAACCTGACCTGAACATAACACAAGGAAGCTTGAATCTTCAAAGCTAGCAGCTTCAATTCCCACCACCTCACGATAACAGCACGATGTGGTGAAGTTCTGGTTAAGACACAGTAGCGTGGCCTCGTGGGTGCACAGTAAGTGGAGCCTCTCCCTCAGGGCTCTCACTCTGGGCAGCAGAAGGCACCTCGACTGGTTTAAGCAGAAAGGAAATTATGGAATCATACGTAAAGGGATACACAGAGTCATGGAGCGTGCTGGGGAAACAGGGCAAGGCCAGCCTTCCAGGATGGGGGCCCGACCACACAGGACACCGGGTTTTCAACTCCTCTCTCTGCAGCTGCAGCTGTAAATCAGTGTGTAGTGAGCTTGCATCTTGGTGAGGACCAAACCTAAAACAAGTACAGCTCTACCCCCCCCCCAAAAAAAAGGCGTGGAGAGAGATTTGAACTACCCACTGCACAGAGGAGGGTGAGTGCAGAAGTCATTTCCAAAGCTCTGCCCTCACTATAGGAAAGCAGTTAATGGGTAAGCACACTCCTGAGCATGCTCAGTTGAAGGAGCACGTTCCTGTGCATGAGCAGTTGAAGATCAAGAAAGGGTGCCTCACGCCCATGAATATATCGCCGGCACAAACGGGGCTCAGTAGGTCATGGTGGTACTCACCTTTAAAACCAGAGTTTGGGAGGCAGAAGCAGGAGGGTCCCTGTGAATTCAAGATTGTTCTGGTCTACATAGCAAGTTCTAGGCCACCAAGCTACAATAGTGAGATTATCTCAAAAGGGAGAGATTGAGGGAGGGAGGGAAGGAGAGAGGGAAGGAGAGGTGGGGATGGGAATTGAGAGAGGGAGGGAGACACGAAATTTGAAGGGGGAGGAGGTGGAGAGGGTGGATTTGGGAGGAATTAGATTAAAGGAGCGGGGGGGGGTAAATATGATAAAAATACATTGTATGCATGTAAAGAATTATGATTTTCTTTACATTTCATGTTTGGGACACACTTAGTTCGAGGTCAAGGAGTACACTTTAAAGGGTTAAATTGGGAGATGGGAATCCTTTTGGGCATGCTCAGATACATCATAATGGTGGCAAAGAAACCACTCTGAGCATGCTCAGCCTTCATTTATAACATTTTAGTTGGGGGTGAAAAAGACAATTTGAAGTTGCGCTAACGCTGGCATTTGCATTTATAGGTGTCTTCCTCAGTAGGCAGCACACCCATTCTACGGTCCAAGTCACTATCATCAGCAGAACCTGGGAGGTTGTTCCCACCTATGCCAGCAAAGGGAAGTCCTGGAGACACCATTTCAACACAGTACACAGCCTTTGAGCCGCGGCTTGCATGCTGGTGACTGGTGGCTGGCGTCTGAACCCAACCTACAAGGAATGTGTGTTCTGGCTTCTGTAATGAGAAATCAAGATTCTTCATGTAGGGATGTCAAAGTCCCCCAAGATGGCAGGTCTCCTGGCAGTGAAGTCTGGATGGGGTTCCACAGGGCACAGTTGCTGGTTAGCAGGCTTTTGTAGCTCCTCACGGCTTATGCTTGGAGCCGTTTCTCCAGCAAGATATTAGGTTGGTGGCTGATTGTTGCCTAGGAGAAATAATAATATAAAAGCAGTCGTTGTCATCCTTTGCATCGTGCCAAGATGAGCCAAGCACAGTAAATCTTTAATGTTTAAATATCTACAGTAACCCTATGAGGCAGGTTTATCCCCATGGGTGAGAACTTTGGTCTCAGAGAGATTGTCAGTCCTACAGCCAGGAGGAAGGGGGGAGAGAAGGGAGAGCCAGGACCGTAGGAGTAGCTTGACTACAGAACCCGCAGATTTCTCTGGTCCATCACGCTGTAGCTTTGTAAGGCATTCATGCAACCTACAGCAGTCTTCTCATGCAAAACAAACATCGCCACATTCCGGATGAGGCCCACGTGACCAGACTAGGTTCCTAAGGAAGAGATTAGCCCCCAAGGGTGGAGCGGTTCCCTATATGCCCTTGAGAGAAGCCCTTTCTGTGATCCTGGCTCCTCGCACTGGGTAAGAAGAACTCCTCATGTCTGAGGATCACACTGCCGAAGACAGAGAAGCCCTGTGCGCGTTGGTGAGGCTAAACAACAAATCCTTCCAAAAGCGGCTCTGTGACCACAGGTTAGGTCCCCAAAGAGCGCCTGCAGGTCCTGAAGAACGGACTGTGGTGTTTGGGATTGTTCCAGCCAGCCTCACCTCCAGGTGATTCTCGCTCAGGTGGGGTGCGGGTAGAGGAAGCACCCCTGGCCTGTCCCTTGGCCTGCTCACTCAGCTTCCGGCTGTGGGGAAAGAAGCCGCAATAGCATCTAAGCAGAACAAACATGGAACATTCAAAACAGAGCAGAGAGACTGGGGCGGGGTGGGGGCGGGAGTAGAACAGGATCTGGAGGACAGAACTCAGAACGCAGGGAGGCAAACCTGGGGCTGCTACCCCCACCTCGCCGGGCTCAGTGTGTCCTCGTCCGGGTGGGGACTCCTGGCCTCCTGTGCTCCCATCCCCAGCCTGTCCATGGTCCTTTCCAGACCAGAAAGGCTTGTTTTCTGTTGTCCTAGGAACCTCTCTCCTGCCCTCATTTCCCTTGCTCTTCTCCGAGTTTATTTTTAGCCGGCTCCTTTCTGAAGCTGCGGACCACAGAGAGGCCCTGCCCCCTCCCTCCCTCCTCCTCACTTTGCCTCCTGTACACAAGGATGAACTCACCCTTCCCCAGCTAGCTGTCTGGCCCCGCTGGTCACCAGGTTGCTGCAGAGAGACCCCGGTGCCTGGAAGCAGCCGAGTCAGTTTCTTCTTCAGTGCTCAGGGACCGCCCCGACCTCCCTAATTACCCCTGACTCGTTTCTAATCAGCTTTTCCATTATCTTGCACCGAAGCCCTCCCAGAATCACATTAATTGCCTATAACTACAGTTGGCTGGTTCGTTTATTACTTTTTTTTTTTAAAAAAAAGAAGATCCAAATGGTTTAACCCTGTTTTTATTTTAAGACTTAAAGAGTTTTGTAAATTTCTGAGGTGTTAAAGACAAAATGTCTGGATTCACACTCACCAAATCCTCATGAACACACACCATGTGCCAGCGGTACAGACCTTGTGGGGGGAAGTGGGAAAGAAAGGGAAATGATCTGAGGGTCTGGCATGGATTCAGCATGGGCATCATCCCTCCTACCACCATCTCCACCAACGTCACCAACACCAACACCATCACCATCACTATCACCACCAACGCTATCACCATCACCACCAACACCATCACTACCAACACCAACACCATCACCATCAATGCCATTGACACCAACACTATCAACACTATCACCATCACACAAATGTCACCAACACCAACACCATCACCATCACCACCAACGCTATCACCATCACCACCAACACCAACACCATCACCACCAATGCCATTGACACCAACACCATCAACACCAACACCATCACCACCAATGCCATTGACACCAACACTATCAACACCAACACCATCTCCACCAACACCAACACCATCAACACCAACACCATCACCACCAATGCCATCAACACCTACACCATCAACACCATCACCACCTACACTATCGACACCAACACCATCACCACCAACGCCATCACTTCCATCAGTCACAACCATCACTACTGTGTGATTCCTGTCAATACCAACACACTGTCCCCCACACCATCACCCCAGTTACCAATAATAATAATAATACGTCATTATCAACATAGCTACTACACCATCAGTACCTCCATCCTCATCACCCCCAGTGCCATCACTCACACTGTCATCCCCACGAATACCATCACAATTACCACCCACTGTTGGACTCCGCCATTATGCTGACCCCGCCCACCTGACGATGGGTGGGGCACCCACAGTGATGTGGCTACATCATCACTATGTATCACTCGGTATGGGACTCGCGCGGCTTCCCCTTTTAAAGCTCCGTGCCATTTCCCCCCTCTCTCTGCTCCGGTTGGTCTCTTCTCATCCCCCCCTTCATTTCCTCTCTGCCAATAAACTCCACGTGGGACTGTTGACTCGAGGTTCATGTTTCATTACCAGTAACTTAAAACAACAACGCCCACACCATCCTGAACAATAATACATCACCATCCATAAAGCCATCATCACTGCCACCATGATCACCCATGCTATCCTCACTTCTAACAATGCCATCACCAGAGATAATACTGTCTCCTCCAAACCATCCCAGCCAATACCAGCTGCATCAGCTCCGTACCATCATCATTTTCCTGGGCCAGCACCAACAACAAGCAAATTACTTGCTCTTATGCTTGCTGTGACTAATGTGGAACATAAACAGCGTAAAGGAAGAAAGCAATGCGTTGGCTTGCAGTTTTGAAGTGGACAGTCCATGGCTGCTTAGTCCCATGTTCTTGGGCAGGCCATGGTAGCAGGAGCATGTGGCAGGCTGATTACTTCCTGGCGGACTGATCAATTTGTGACCATCAGGAAGTGGAGAGGGTATGACAAGACAGGGCCAGGGACAAAATAGTCTCAAGAACCTGCCCCTAGTAGGTACCTATACGTTAGCACAACAACATGTATGGAAATTTAATATTAAAATATAAAAATAATAAAAAAATATTAAGAAGCGGGCTGGAGAGATGGCGCAGAGGTTAAGAGCACTGGTTGCTCTTCCAGAGGTCCTGAGTTCAATCCCCAGCACCCACATGGTGGCTCACAACCATCTACACTTCAATCTTGTGCCCTCTTCTGGTGTACAGACATACATGCAGGCAGAATGTTGTATTCATAATAAGTAAATAAATCTTTTTTAAAAAGCAACCTTAAGATGCACCGTTACCCTAAACCCACCTCATGAATAGCATCCTTGTACCATCCCTACCAGCGTCTTTACGATCATCAGCGCTAAGCCCATCGCTACCCGTGCCCTCATCCCTATCTCCACCGTCAGCATCTTCTCCACCAGTGCCACGCCCCCCACCACCATCACCAGCTCACCATCATGAGTTCACCCGTGCTGCCTTCCCTGTTGTTACCAACACCGTATCCCGCCTAGGTCACCTCAGCTCTATTCCTTTGCTTCTTTCTTCAGCCACCCTTTTTTGAAAACATTACTTTAGCGTGAAATACTGAAGGGATTCAGTCTTGCTTTGCTCAGTAACAAAATAGCCTTAGGAATAAGAACCATAAGCTAAGAGAAGGGGCTCTCAAAGTAAGCTCCGAGATAGGAGATAGGCCTTTCTACCCACATGCACACACACACCACTGTTTTATGAGGTAAATATAGGATGAAAAACTGTGACAGGAAAATTCTATAAACCAGAGGTCTCAAGGCTGCTCCTGTGTGTGTCCTGTCCACACATTTCCTCGGTGCATGGTGAGGAGATCGTGATACGTACGGCCCAGTTTATACCGGAGGTAAGAGGCTCTCAAAGTTTGCTATGCTGAAGTCTCAGTGGGGTGCTTGTGAAGACACGCTACTGGACTAACCCTGGGCTCCAATTCAGCATGCGTGTGGTGATAACTTGCATTTCTGATGGTCCATGTTATGGCTCTGGACCATCCTTGGAAGTCAGTACAGCAACAGGAGCTCACACTGACATTCATGCAGACTCTCAGAGCCACCCACATTTATGCAGACTCTCAGAGTCACTCACACTCTCAGATAGAGAGGCCATCTTGTCTTGGTGAAAGAAAGGGAGGAAAGGAAACTTACAAAAATAAACATAAAATAGAAACATGTCACGTCTGCTGCGAGGCCTGTGTCCAAGAATGTGCGGAGGGTGTCAGGGATTGACAACACAGAGACTCGTTCAAGGACATAAAGAAAACTTTAAGCAGGCCCCAAAAAGGTTCAAGAAAACTTCCTAAGAAAGGCTCCCACCAGAGAAGCTTCTGCTCTCTCCTCTCCCCTGGCTGGTTCTGCTCTGACCCCAGAGGTGGATGTGGGTGGGTCTGAAGGTGCGGTTAGTCTTTGGACAAGGTCGAGGTCAGGGCGGTTTCCGTGGGCAGGCCTTTTCCAGGAACTTATTGCCCCGGGCATTGTATTGTTTTTAGTAAACATGTTTTTACTAAACATTGTCTTACAGCTGCCTACTCCCAGGCAGAAGGGGAAGTGGGTCTCTGCTCAAGGTCTGGTGTCCCCACAGAAACAGAAAGACAACACCATGCAAAAATAACCCTGCTAGATGACTAAATGAGTATTAGCATAGAGCTGCCTGGAGATACAAATTTTGAGGAAAATAGGAAGAAGCCATAAGGTAAAAGAAACATCACTCACGACCACAGGCCAGCGCTGAAGCAATTCTACAACAGCTAAACTATGGCGGTGAGACCTCAAACAAGCAGACTGAGCCGGGACAGTGACCCAGAAGCCCAAGGAAAGAGGCAGCCAAGGCTATGGGAAGTGGTACCTAAGGGGCACAAGCTCTCCCCAGATGTTAGGACTCTAACAACCTCACCTGCAAAATGCCACTGGTCTCCTGTGTGTGGCAGACCATTGGGAGAGCTTAGCCTGCAGCTGCCCCGTAAGGGTCAACTTGTTTTCATTACTCAAATCCAGATAAGAATGCAGATGGCATGCCCAGTCAGAAAAGGCATCTGCCTGAAGTTTGAAGTATGTTTTATTACAGCAACAGAAATGTAATGGGTTCTCTCTAGTCCAGGCTGGCTCCAAACTCAAGACAGTGGGGTGGTGGCTGTTGTGCCCAAGTTGCAAAGGCCCCAGAGACCACCAGGAAGACAGACCCAGTAAACTGCAAAAGCAAGGTTTAATGATTGCTCATCCAACCACGACAGGGACCCCGTCTGGCCAGCTGTCCCAGCAACCCCCAGAGGGAGTGAAGTTCCCTGTCTATTGCTAGGTTTTAAAGACAAAAGTTAAAGATTACATCAGTAAGTATGGTTTGGTTTCTGATTGGTTGACATTTGGGAACAATTAGGAGAATTTCTCAAAGTCATTTTGGCATGAAATACCTGTACACCAATTATTTTCATTGGTCAGTGCTGAGAGGGAACATTCTGTGGTTTCTATGGCTTTGTCTTGTTACTTGCAGGTGGTCTGTTGTTCATAGATACCAATAGTTTTAAGACCTATATCCTGGAGACTACATGGGAGGTTTTGGTGCCCCCTGGAGTCTCTTTTGTGACCAAATATTTCCCAGGAACCAAGTCTCTAGGAGGCTGGGAGGGGGGGGAGGCTAGGGGGAGATGCTGGAGTTTCTTTGTGTTCAGTTTTGGCCCTAGGCTCCGGGAGGCCAGAGGATCTGGAGTTTCCTTGTGTTAGAAGCCTATAGTCTTTCTGTAGCCTGTCATGGCTGCTAAAGCAGGGGGTTGAGTGAGGGTCTGGTCCCTTTATTTCTAAATGATTAGAAGTGAAGCCTTTGAGTTTAGTTTACCCCTTTCAGTGGCATTACCAGCATCTACCACATCTGTTAGCCTTCCCCAGCCCCTGACACAAAATCTCATGTAAACAAAACCGGCCATGACCTTGAATGTAGGAGGAGGCCAATAGTTGGCTCAGGGCCAGCGGAGCATTTGAGTTTATAACTTCCCTATGAGCCAACCAGAAGTCCGCAGCGAGGTCTGGAGACCACCGATGCCATGATGACCTGGGCTAATGAGAGAAACAGAGACAACACAGCATCCCAGATTGGCACCGCCTCTGGGTCCTCCGGAGGGTGTGTCAAAGGCCTGCCTACACCTCAATGAAGGAGTAGACTCTTGCTTCTCACCTGGCTCTCAGAGTCTGCACTGCTGATTCGGCGCCTTCTCTCTCCCTCCCCCAACAGGCTACCTGCTTGGACTCGTCCCCTGCAACACTTGAACTCCTGCCTCTCCTGTCTCTGTGCCCTGAGCATTGCCCTTACAGGCTTGTGTGATCATGTCCAGCTTCGCGCTCTTGCTAGAGAGTAAACGCAGGGCCTTGTGTGTGATTGTGAAACTAAGCTTCACCTGCAGCCCCAGGAACGTGTGGTGAAGCAAACTCGTCCTGAGCCTCACATGTGTGTGAATGGCTGAGAGAAGCGCAGGACCACGGCTCTCATGCTCTGCAGGAGGACCACCCAGGGTGGCATGAGAGCATGCCTGATACAAGAAGTGTTAGAGTTTGTTTTATTTGTTGTTTTGGTTTGGTTTTTTGATACAAGGTTTCTCTGTGTAGCCATGGCTGCCCTGGAACTCACTCTATAGACCAGGCTGGCTCCAAACTCAGAGATCCTCCTGCCTCTGCCGCCCCAATGCTGGGATTAAAGGTGTGTGCCGCCACCACCCAGCAACGTTATAGTTTTAAGACGTCTCGACTTTACAGGAGGTTCCGAGTGATTCACACTGGCAGGAGATCCAAGACCTGGTGACTCAGCCTAGTCACAGAGTGAAACCATCCTACTTATCTTACCTTCTTCCCAAGGAACCGGCTCTGCCGGTCCTGTGGCTTCGGGAAAGGTACTTGGTCCAAGACAGAGCCCAGGTGCCTTAATGTGAGCTACTCTCTTCCCAAGCTGTTGAGAGTTAATGATAATGTGTGGGAAAGCGCCCGGGGCAGTAGGTAGGTGTTATTATTTGTAATTTACCAATGAAGAAACTGAGGCATTGAGGCCATACTTGAGGCCCAGTCTGGACTCCTGGGAAAGAAGAGGTTTTCAAAAGGAAATACCCAAGGCCCCTTTGAGCTCTGGAAGTGCTTTCAAAGGTAAGGTTTGTTGGTGGTGGTGCTGCATAGATTACCTGGAAAGAAAATAGAGGCACATTCACCCCCCCTCCCTTCACACTTAGGAACTGGCCTGAATCCATGAACAATGACCAGAATGAAACAGGGAACCCCAGTGACACCCACCCGCTGCCTGGCGGACTTGAACCCAGTGACCTCCACCTGCTGCCTGGCGGACTTACCTCGCAACCCTTTGCCTGTCTTCATCACCAGCTCTTCATGTTCTGGGTCAAGGGCAAAGCTTAGGGACTCTCCATCAAGGCCATCGTCACTTGACAGTACTGCGTTAGACCAAGGCTTAGAGTCTCTTGGGCCCAAGGGAGTGTCCAGGACACCTGGAATACTATTCCTCAACCTGGGAGTGCCAACATTTGGAATAGCTAATTCTCTTTGGGGAAGGCTGGGGGATGGGCTCTGTTCTACCAACCAGATGCCAGCAGCATTTCCCAGTCGTGACAACTAAAATGTCTCCAACCGGGCGTCGACAAATGTTATCTGGAGGAGGCAATCGGCCCCCCAACCGAGAGTCACAGATAGCAAAGCTCATTTTCCCTGCCAGTATTTGTGGAAAGGGGCTGTGGCGAGCCTCTGTGTGTGGATACAGATTCATTTTGCATCTTTTCGGATTTAAATTCACACCAGAAAGCTCCACCCTGGAGTATTTCAGCTGCAGATGGACCAGGCAGGGGTAGGGATGGGATTTTCTTCTTCAGAACAGGCCACAGAAAAAATCCTGGGAAGTCCAGTCAGGGACAAGCCCTCAACTCATATGACTCATGGTGACAGATGCCTAAGAGGTTCCCAGGCAAGCACAGGGACAGTCCCTGGCCAGTGAGTCTGCTTCCTGCTGCCCTTCCTTCCAGGGTGGACAGCTCTTTAAAAAATATTACATTTAGTGAGTGTGTGTGTGTGTGCTCACACGTGCACACACGCGTGTTCACACACACGTACACTCACACGTCACATCTCAAATGTGGAGGTCAGAGGACAGCTTGCAGGTGCCTGTTGTCACCTTCCCCATATACTTTTCCTCGGGTAAGCCATCCTGCAAAAGCTCGTGTTAGGACTCCCAAATGTGCCTCGGTGCCCTTTAATGGGAAAGCAAACCTCAGTGACCAGGGAAAGAACGTACACCACCCTGCACACGGATGTGACAGAAGGAAAATGTGGTGGTGGGCAGAGCAAAACCTCAGTATTTGTCACTGACGGAGTAAAGACGGCTCTCGGACCACTCTGGTTTGCTCGCTTGTCTTGCCACGCCTTCCCCCATTTTCTGTCTTGAGCTCGAAGTTGCTTGTAGCAAGGCAGGGGAGAGGCAGTCATTCACAGAGGTCCTAGGGGAAACCGCTCCGCCGGCCTTTCCTTTCAGATGTGTTACTGACTATAAGGCAGAGTGTGTGGGCTTTCGGAGAGTATGCCCGCTGCAGCCTGAAGAGAACCGGGTTCTCCACGAGCTTGAGAGGAGAGGGAACCCAAATGTGACCCCAGCAGGGTGACTGTGCCCGGAGTGGTATGGTAAATCGTCAGGGGGGCTTGTCCTAGGAGGACCTGGCCCGTCCTCCTCCCCGGGCCATGAGTCAGCACCTAAGCCCACGCTTGGAAGTGGCCTGTGCGAGCATCCGGGGTGTGGCCAAGGACTACTCAGCAGTGTGACTCGGGGGCCATAGGCAGATCGGAGTTGAAAGTGTCTCGGGCGTCTCTAGAGCGCTTTGCTGGACTTAGTTTTCCGGGTTCACGGAAAGAGCCTAGCACAGCCAGTCATGATCTCTGGGTTCGGACAGCGCCCCCTGCCGGTCTTCACGCGTTGTTGTCAGGCCCGGGAACCCCACATACTGCGAGATAGCAGCAGCCGCCCGCCCGCAGCTCGGCCGCCCTCTGCTGGCAGAAAGCCTGAACCACACTTAGCGCTTGCAGCTCTATCAGGAAGTCCATGCTGTGCCCTTGAAAACACAGGGAGAAACAGCATAGAAGGGGATGCTTGAAAGGGAGGACTTTGTCTACTCTAAATGTCCTTGTGGGGCTTTCGAGGAGCACGACAGGATGACTGCCTGTCCCAGGGACCCACTAGGTCTGTGTGAGTGGCCTCCTGGACAAGCCCAGCCGGTGTGCCCAGCGCCCTGCAGTGGTGTGCGGGAGCAGGGGTGCGATGCTCCTCTTCTCGGCTGGCTTCGATAAAGTGCTACAAACTGAGAGGCTTAACTATCATATTCAGAAGTGAATTATTTCCTAATAACGCTCTCTGAAGTCTCCAGGGAGGATCACTGGCAGAACCCTCACCCCATGTGGCATTATCCTTGGGTTCTCTGTTAGGACAGTAATTGTTGCAATAATCAAATATAACCTCATCTGATTTGATTATCTCCAAAACGCCCCGGTTTCTAAAATAGGCTATGGGAAACGGGCGGGGCTGACTGTACGATGACTTCCAAAGTCTCTCTTGAAACATGGCGGGCATGCCCAGCATGGGCGTGGAAGGTGCTGAGGGGGCTGTGGGCTGGTCTGCTGAGCGTCCCTGTGGCCAGGGAACCTGGGCGGCTGCGTGGGCAGGCAATGCTTGTAGTGGGGACTCACTGAGGAGAAGCAAGCATTTGCACGTGCCTGTGTGAAGGATTGGAACACAGACGGTCTGCTTAAGGGGTTTAGATTCATAGGCAACTGTAGGCGATGGCATTTTTCAAATTCACAAAAAAATGGATACAAGACTGCCACCTTTCCTGGCATTCTAGTTTCATTTCTGTTGCTATGATAAAATATCACAACCCAAGGCCGTGTAGCCTAGGAGGGGCTTATTTGGCTCTCAGCCACAGGTTACATGGGTTATCGTTGAGGGAAGTTAAGGCAGGAAGTCGGACAGCTGGTCACGAAGCAGGGCTTCACAGTGGCCCACAGGAAACAGACACGATGGGAGGGAGGTGTGTGTGCACCCAAGCATGGTGTGTGTTTGCAGTTTCTTCACGGGGAATAGTAAAACATCTAATAATCTCACAGGATAATACTTCAAAAAAAAACAATAAAGGCCTAAAACAAAGATGTCTTTCATATGCTAATTTCCCCAGTTTAGGTGAGCTGGCTCTTTTGTCCAATGCCCAGATTTTAAACAGCACTTGCTTAAGGAAGAGATGAGGCTTTGCTCAAGGCTGTGCTTAACTCCCGAGTTTCCCCCTAGTGCTTGTCCTTGGAGCAGTTAGGTGCCTGGGCTTGTAGCAAGCTGAGATCTTTTATAGAAGTGAAAACTTAAAAATATGTCGCTGCACAAGATGTTTTGTGTTGAATTTATCTCAGATGCCAAGTCAGGATTTCAGATACCTCCCGAAATAAGAAAGCGATGACGGGAGGATTTCAGCCGGCTTTATTTTTATTTATAATTTATACCCTGTCGGCTTCTAAACAGACCAGAGGCAGCTTCCAGTAGAAGACGCGTGCACAGTGAAGCCGCTAAAAAGGGATGAGAAAATGGGAACGGGCGCAGGGGGAGGGGCAAGCGGAGAAAGTGGTGAAGTCTGCGTGAGTCAGGGTTCCGTTTAGTTCCGAGCTTCCTGGTGGCTAAGGCACCGATGGGGAAAAAGGAGTCTAGCTGGCCTTTCATCTTCTGAGAAAATAAAGTTGCCAAGCAGGGAGGGAGTTTGCTCTGCAAGGCCTTCCAACAAGGGCCTCTGGGGAAGGCAAGGGCTGGGCACTCCCTGTCTAGGGTGCCGGGGACAACCGGCTGAGGAGGGAGACGTGGGTACTCTAGGCTGGGTAAGGGTCTAATCCAGCCCCTTCATGTCAAGGGCTCTGCTTATCTGACACCCCCAAATCCTTAAGGTCAGTCCTCCAGAAGCCCACAGGTGTTCATAAGCCTGGGTTTGGGGAGGGTCAGGGAGGTGGCTGGGTACAGAGGGCACTTGGAGTACAGGCTGCTGTCAGTACAGATGTGCAGTGGAGGATGGAGCCAGAGCGGAGGGGAAGGTGACCACCCAGCTCTGTCCTACCATTGAGTCCCTGGGTCTTTGAAGAATCTGAGAATGTATTATTATTATTGTTGTTGTTGTTATTAAATATGTTAGCATTTATTTGTTACTACAGGGACAGGGGTGCTGACATGGTACACATATGGAGGTAGAGACAACATTCTGGAGTGTGTTCTCTCCTTACACCTTTATGTGAGTGCTAAGGATTGAACTCGGGTCCCTAGATTTGTATGGCAGTCACCTTTTACCCAGTGCACACCCCACCCCTCCCAACCCCACTCCCACCCCTGCCCTGAGCCTGAAGATCCCATGTGTTAGTGTGGTCCTCTGAATTATGATGCTGTATTAGGCAAGGGATGCGGCCGAGAGCATTGTACTTAGCGGCGTGCTGGGAGAACCTCTAAGAGCCGTTAGACAGGCATGCAGTACCTGGGCCTCCATTCCATTCTGGCCTGGCAAGTATGGGGATTTCCAGCTCACCCTGATTCCCTTCTCATCCACAGCCATCGCGGATGGAAAACGGGCTACTCTGGAAGGCCAGTCACGGGCTTACCCTGAGCTCCAGCGTGTGTTAGATGTGTGACCTGGGGTCGGTTATGGCATTGGATGGGAATGTCAGCTGCGTCACTCTGGAACGATGTTTTTACCTTCCCAGGCTTTGCTTTCCCTCTCCTCACAGTCGTGATGGTGATGATGATGATGGTGATGATGATGGTGATGATGATGATGATGATGGTGTCCACGCTGTGAGGTAGTGTGGGGGCAAAGCTTAAAAAATAGTGCTTGAATACAGCAAACACTACTCAACTATTATCTGCAGTAGACTATTATTTTAAGGTGTGTGGCTTTTGTTAATGCCGCATTTGTCTCACTCTGTGAAGCTGTGGTCCTGTGCCTGCCTAAAACACCTCCTAATAAGGAGCTGACCGGCCAATAGCGAGGCAGGAGCAAGGATAGGCGGGGCTGGCAGACAGAGTATAAATAGGAGAACCGGGAAGAGAAGCAACGAGAGAACAAGGAGAGGTGATGCTGGGGGCCAGCCACCCCCAGCCAGCCGCGGAGCAGGAAGGAAAGTAAGATACACAGAAGTAAGAAAGATAAAAGCCCAGAGGGAAAAGGTAGATGGGATAAATCAAAGTTAAGGAAAGCTGGCAAGAAACAAGCTAAGGCCGGGCATTCCTAACTAAGACTAAACCTCCGTGTGAGTTATTTGGGAGCTGGGTGGTGGCCCCTCAAAAAGCCAGAAGAGCAAAACATTTCCCACAATTATTACTGTTCTCACCAGGGCTGGCTACTTTGTGTCCCCTCCTACCCCTTGGGTCCTATCTAATTGCCTCCAGTGGAACTCAGAATTGCCGAATCTCCCTGTGCTCGGCGCCAGAAGTCTCTAGAAGGTCCTCCTGCCCATGGGTCCTTGGAACCCAGCACCTTCAGAGCTGTACACGAAGTGCCTGGCGCACTGTCCAAGTTGCAAGAGAGAAATCCTAGCGGAGGCAGCGCTGGCAGCCATTCTGTCATTCAAGCCTACATCTCCACCCAGAGAGTCCAAGTGAAGGTGTCTCCCAGCTGAAGCTGGGCCATTTGTTCTCCTTTGCCAGAAGAAAGGGGTCCCAGGGGGCTCTCGGAGATGCAGTCCACAGCCCACGCCCTCCTTCTAACAGCCTCAGCATCTCTGGGTCACTGTTGCCAGGCTCTGCGCCCCCTGCTGGCTAACTCGCTCTCTCCCTCTCCTCACTTTTCCCTGTCGAGAAACACGAAGTTTTTACGGGAGGGCAGTCTAGTTGTGCCATGTCCCCACCTAGTGCCAACTATAATAATTGTGCCTTTGCTGAAGGACGGAAGGACGAAAGGAAGGGGAGGGGGAGGAAAGGAAGAAAGGGAGGGAAGGAGGAAGGAAGGAAGGAAGGAAGGAAGGAAGGAAGGAAGGAAGGAAGGAGGGAAGGAAGGAGGGAAGAAAGGAGGGAAAATACCAATGCATTGATCACAAACTCAGAAAATTTGATACGTTTCTATTTGCATTGTTTATAAGTCACCAACCCAAGCCTTTTGTAAACTGGCCTTTTCGCGTTTGCTTCCTTCTGCCGGACCCAAATCTTGACCAGCTAAGAATGCCTGTGCCTGGTTCCTTGCCTTCTGGTACTTATTCGTATTTTAGTACCCGGACCCTCCCCTCCCCCCCCGCATTTTGTGTGTGTGTGTGCATGCGCGAGGGGGGGGGGCATGTCATGCTGCAGGATCCCTTTGCTCCGCCCTACTCCCTTTAACAGAAGGGGAGTGGCACCCGGGAACTCTGTGAAGGTGCAGTTCACAGCCTACACCCTCAGGCCTCCGGTTCCAGCCAGTCAGGCCTGGTCTCTCCTGTCACTGTGGCAGGACTCTGCGCCCTCTGCTGGCACGCTTCAGGGCGGGTGGAGCCCTTCAGCTGGCTCCCTAGGACCTAGTAGCTGGGATGAACGTAACTCTGGAGGTAACCAAGGGTGGCGATGGATTGCCCAGAGGGGACAGTGACACTAAATTGCTTGTTTTCAGGCTGGTGAACACGGGGGCTTTGGAGGGGCAGAATTCACAAGGGATGAGGCTGCAGTGAGTTTTCAGTCCAGAAAGGTAACTGCCGGCAACAAGACAACTTGCATCAAGGGTGCACTTCCGGGGCGCAGAGCAGACAAGTGAGTGGTTCTCAGGCTGCAGTCACCGTCCCCGAAGTACCGGCCTCCTGGGGTTTGGGGCAGATCATATGGGCCAACCAAAGGAGCGCAAGGGTCCAAAGGAAAGACTGTGGAGTGCGACCTCATGTGATTGACAGGTTGCTGTAACATCACACCAAGGGGTAGCAAGAGCAAGCCTAGGGAACTTGCGAGATACACACTCACTCGCTCAGACCCCACCCCGAGTGGGCTGTGACTCTGTGTGAGTTAGTTTCCTCAAAACCACAGATCCAGGCAGGACAACGGGACTGCCTCTTTCCTCATTGGAGGGAGCTGCTGCGTGGGTCCTATTCACCCCCAACACGTAGGAATGCCAGCCTTCCCTGTGTTTTCCTTAGATTCTCCACGGTCTCTCAAAGCTTGAGTGTATACATAGCAGACGTAAGAGTGCCACCAGCGGGTGTGGCTCTCAAGGCCTGGCTCGAAGGGGTCCTACACACTAGGTGACTGGTGAACGGCCATAAAGTGGAGACTGGGACACTGGAGTCTGGGACGAGCTCTGGGGGAGCCCAAGTGATGGGGTGACAGCCACGGTACAGGACAGGGGGCTGCCGGGCGTTCAGTGTGTCAATAGTGCGGCAGGGGTTGGGAGAGCCAGGAGGTGTGCACCCCACTAAGCACTTCACACACTGTCCAACTAGTGTGGCGGTGCAGGATTTCCTATACCTATTCCAGGGCGGTGCAGGATTTCTTATACCTGTTCCAGGGTAGTGCAGGATTTCTTATACCTATTCCAGGGTGATGCAGGATTTCTTATCCTATTCCAGGGCGGTGCAGGATTTCTTATACCTATTCCAGGGATGAAGACAGAGGGCCTTTGACGCCTAATAATGGTTAATAATTGTCAACTTGACACAGTCAGGAACCACCCGAAAGCTTCAGGGTGGCACTATCTATACCGGGTTAGCCTGGGGTGGATGATCTTGATGGCTTTTTTTTTTTCTTGGTTTTTCCAGACAGGGTTTCTCTGTGGCTTTGGAGGCTGTCCTGGAACTCGCTCTTGTAGACCAGGCTGGCCTCGACCTCACAGAGATCCACCTGCCTCTGCCTCCCGAGTGCTGGGATTAAAGGCGTGCGCCACCACCGCCCAGCTGATCTTGATGGCTTTAACAGGTGTAGGGACACCCGCCCTAAGTATGGGTGGTACCTTCTGGTAGTAGCCCGAATGGAAGGAGTTGGGAGAGGAGAGTAGCAAATTAATTCATGCACCCTGTTGCCACCGCCGCTGTCACAGCAGTGATTGTTCGCTGCTCTTAGGAATCAGCCTTTCGGGTTTCCAATGTGAACTGAAGACCAGCAGTTTTCTGACACCACGCAGGCCTTCTGCCTTGCGGCGGGACTCCGGAGGTACCCAGCCTCGTGGACAGAACGACTACCAAGTTTTCAGCTTCCCTGTGAGAGACAGTCATTATTGGACTGCCCTGGCAGCATCTTGTAAAGCAATTTAATAAGTTCTCTCTTACTATGTATTAATTCTATCAGTTTGCTCTATATGTTAATTCTATCAGTTCCGGGTCAGCTTGTCTGTGTGTTCAGGTGCGCAAGGCTGAGATTAGGAGGTTGTTGCCAGGGAGGGGAGCTGCTGGTGATGAGGGGATTCCACAGTGTACCTCCTCACCCCACAGCCCCTGGACACACCTTCAGGGTGGACTGCCTGGCTCCCAGGGGCTGCATGAGTATGAGGACTTGCCTCCATTGGTGATGAAGGAGTCTTAGCCACAGAAAATGTTCTTGGCATATCGTGGCGTAGACCAGTCTATTGATAGCTGTTAGGACATGGACGAGGTTTGGAAATGAGCTATGTGGTCTGTGAAGTTTTCAGATACTTTTTCTGGGGTAGGCATTGAGGCTTTCTAAGAAGTGCAGCTGAACTGTTGGAAGTGCATTGCCCACCCTAGGCCTCCCTGGGCCTCCCCTGGCCTCCCTAGGCCTCCCTGGGCCTCCCCTGGCCTCCCTAGGCTGGATTTTACCATACAGTAGCAAGTTGCTGGGCTCCCAGCCCCGGTCCTCAGAGTAGCACAGCTGCTGAGATTTAACTGGAGAGGGTGTTTTAGAAGCTTGGAGCCGACGGGAATAAAGCCGTTGCCCAGGTCACAATGGTGGCCAAGGGCCTAGAAGACACTTGTCCTGCGTTTGGGAACGAGCAGGTGAGCTGGTTTTAATTTGAGTGCTCACTGCCCAAGCACGGAGAGGGCTTCACACACTGAAACAGAAGGGACATTAACCTGGCAGTTGAACCTTCCTGATAATTCTCATCGCACCTTGGCAGACACAGTTCCGGAAAGCAGCCGACCTGGGGCTTTGTCATGCCACGTAATTAATGTGTGATGGTGCTCAGCTCGGGATGATTTAGTGACTGGAGAAAAAGTAAGATATGAGGCAGAGGCTTCCACGGGGGTGCCAAGTGGAGAGTCTGGATGGAGTTTGTGGTCTTTCTAGGGCACTGTGGGTTCAAGAGAAGTGCGTGGCTGGCTGGTTTGTGTAATTTATTCCAGGAACAACTCTGTGACCAGGGCCTTGCTAAGTGCCCTTCTTGATCCTCGGTCCTCCCAGGGTGAAGCTCCAACTAAGGCTGTCTGGATACAAAACAGACCCCTCCACCCTGGAGATTAGGACAGAACCGGAAGGTGAGTGTTCTGCCAATACTATACGTGGGCAGGGCAAGGCTTCAGAAATGAAAGTCCCTTTGCTAGGGGACCCAGGGACTTTGCTGCAATTCATTTTCTTGAGCTTTTCTGGGCTGAGTTGTGGCCTGTAGGAGTGAGTGTAGGGAGAAATCTAGGTACCCATGCCGCTGACCACGCCCATTTTGGGCGTGGCTACAGGTGGAATAAAGGGCTGTATTTCGAGGTTCTGATTTGAAACTGAGCTAACAACAACAGTAAAACCCTGGCCACCATCTTCTTGTGCTTTTCCGATCATGTTCCGTCGAGAGTCAGGCCAGTAGAGCTGCTTGCCCAAAGGGTCGTGGTCAATGGCCCTAACGTTCCGAAGGCTGTGGACAGGAAGGATGATGTAGTGGCCACGTTGTTCATAGATCAGCATGAGGTTGATGGCACTCTTCTGACTGAAGAGCAGGAAGGTGGTAGGAGCACTACAGGTCCTGTTGTTGTCAGCATTGAGGCCAGGCAGAGGCGGGAGCAGTGCCCATTGCTGGAGGCACATTCCTTCCACCCCGCCTGCCAAATGGCCCTGGATGATGGTGCGGTTTTCCCACTGGTTTGGTTGGCACGTTCAATGCTGTGTCGGCTCCAGTCCGTCCAGTAGATGTAATCTTGGTACTGAGTTAAGCCAAAAGGATGAGGCAAGTCATCCGCTATAACTTCACGGTTGAGTCCAAGCATATTTGAAGACTCTATCAAGTTAGCGTCCAGGTCTGCCCAGCAAAGCCGCCTTTTAGCATGATCAATAGTTAGACCATTTGCTCGTCCCACATTTGGAACTAATGTAGTATGTTCACTTCCATCCATCAATCTTAGGCTCCCCCCCCCCATTCAGTCTAATACATAAGTCCTTCAGCAGGATCCAATGCTAGAGCTCGGGGACTACCAAGGTCTTTCCATACCAAAACCTGTGGGTGACGTGCATCCAACTTTGACACTTCGATGCGATCCGTGCCTGTGTCTGCCCAGTACAAGTTTTTCCTAAGCCCGTCTACTGCCATGCCTTCCGAATGACCTGAGCCAAACTCCACGTGTTCCAGTGCACCGCCGTTCATAACGGCTCTGCTAATAGTCTTCAGTGATGTATCAGTCCAGTAAGTTCTGTTGTCAGTGACATCAAAATCCAAAGCAGAAGCTTCTTTGACACCAGGACAGCCAGGGCTACACAGAGAAATCTTGTCTTGAAAAAACAAACCAAACCAACAAACAAAAGATATTACAATCCCAAGCTCATACATTAAATTCTGATGACTCCCAGGGGAAGGGCCTCATGTGTGGGAGACATTTGGAAACCGTGAAGTGCATGTTAGTGATGTGCTGGCCAGAGCCACTTGCCAGTGAGTTGACGTACTTTCTGCACCTCCAAACCTTGATGGGGCACTGTAGTAGAATATTATTTTCAGGTGTGTGACTTTTGTTTATGCTGCATTTGCTTAACTCTGTGAAGCTGTGATTCTTTGCCCGTCAAAAACACCTGGGGGTCCTAATAAAGAGCTGAATGGCCAATAGTGAGGCAGAAGCAAGGATAGGCGGGGCTGGCAGACAGAGAGGATAAATAGAAGGAGAAACGAGGAAGAGGAGGGGCATGAGAACAAGGAGAGGAGGGCATGAGGTGCCAGCCACCCCAGCCATTCCAGCAATCCCAACCATCCCAACTATCCTAGTCACCCCAGCCACCCCACCATCCAGCTGCACAGCAGTCCATGGAGTAAGATTTACAGAAGAGGTCAGGAAAAGCCCAGAGGCAAAAGGTAGATGGGCTAATATAAGAAAAAATGTCTAGCAACAAGCCAGGCTAAGGCTGGCTTTTATAAGTAATAATAAGACTGTGTGATTTATTTGGGAGCTTGGTGGAGGGCCCCCTAAAAGAGAATAAACTTCTTACTATGGGGCACAGTGTGACTTCAGTCAAGTCTTCCCAGCGAGGGCTATGCTGTATAAAACCAGGAGTTGGGAGATGGGACAATGCGGCTTTCACAGATGACGTACCACAGTCATTTGTAATGAAAAGTCTAGGAGGGAAGCAGCACCGCCCACAGGAAGCTGAGCTCGGGGTTTGTCTGAGAGGGCAGCACCAAGGATCTCGTTTGTAGCCTTTCGGATAAGCAGGAGCAGGTGTTATCAGCACTCGCTCAGCTTGCCTGGCTCGGCTCCTCAGGAGAATCTATCAAGCATGGCCTTTACCCTTACGTTGGTAAGCGTGTTTGAACAGTCACCTGCCTGTTTAAAAATCACATTTATTCATCTCTTACATATGCCACACAGCACATGTGGAGGTCAGAGGACAGCTGTGGGTCCGCAGGTTTGAACTCAGGTCATCAGGCTTGGCCGCAAGCGGCTTCACCTGCTGAACCAACCTGCCAGCCCTCACTTGCCTGGCTTTTGTTTTGTTGTTTTTTGCTATTGTTTGTTTCCTTACATTGGTTCTTTTTAGAATGTGACCATGGCTCATCAGATGGCGATGGGACAAAGGACTTGATCCAGCTTACGTAAACCACTGCCGACCCTGAGACTATCTATACGCTTCTAGGTAATGCCGTCTGGTTTTCTCCACGACTGAGTTATCTGCCATCAGATGGGATTTTCTCTCACCTTCTGGTCAAGGCTCGATACCTTGAGTAGTGAGCACTGAGATGCTCTCCCTCCCAGGGTAGGGTGTGCCTCTACTCTGAAGTGCCCTGGGTGAGTGAGCCATACAGGAGGGCAGCGGTATTGTCTCGTAAAAATCCCAAGGTCTGCTCCTCTCTGCCCACGGTGTTTTCTCAGCGTGACTTTCTCCAGCAGCCTCCAGTTCTAAAAATAAAGCTTAAAATGCGTGGAACGGTAGCCACATCTTACCAAAAGCCTCCTTAATGTTGGCTTAGATAGGAAATGGAAATGGCCATGTTAGCCCTGCTCTCCGGCATTTCTGGTGCTCAGTCTCCATGAAATGGATTGCTTATGGGGAGATAATGTCTGTTCTATTCCTTTTTAAGTCTGTGAAAAATGTCATCCTGGTTAATAGGGTGATTAAAACCCTTTATGCTCCAGGAGATAAATGTGATTATGTTTGTCATACTCTACCCAAGATAAAGACAGCAAAGAAAGCAGACGTGAAACTCCACGACACTCCCTCTCTTCTGTATCTGGGGACATTTAGGACCTGTACACAGATGGCTCCCACATAAAGAATAACATTATCTCTTGAACATTTTTCCTTCCCATTAACCAACTGAACCACATGCCTCTGGTATGAAGGAACTCAAAAACGACCAAATCCTCTGGCTTCCCAATTCTGTGGAAAACACTTCAGTGATATTGCTTGCTTGTTCTGAGTTTTTATCTATTACTTCATTTTTTTTTCTTTTAAAAGGCAATTGGGGCTTATGCCTTCTTCTAGGAAAGCTGTCAACAGGTGACGTGGGTCTTTCCCATGGGGATATGAAGTGTAGGGACAGGGCTTTAACATTGGCATGCCACAGAAGCAAGTATTCTGCCATCCCTTTGACAGGGGTTCCTTCAGAGCCAGTGGAAACAGTGCGTCCTGTGTGGTCCTAGCTCTTCCTAGGGCATGGATGTCATCTATAGCCCCTGTGACAGGTGTTGTCACATTTACAAGGCCCTACCCTCAGGGAGCTTGTAAGTCAGGACTCTTGCAGAGAGAATCACAGTTAATCATGGTTTCTCTTTTTATCCCCTCAGAAAATACAGGAGTTCTCATTTTCTCCTACCCAGTGGAGATCTTTCACAAATCATTAGATAGAAAATGCGCGAGGGGGTTATAGGCAGTGCCCACTCTGTACACCCATCCAATGGCTCCTACCTTCCTTTTCTGCATTCTAAGGCCAGAATTTTTTCTCCCCAGAGGACTGGTTAAAAACAAAAGATGGGTAAAGATTTTTTTCCCTACTCCACACTTGCTGATCAAGCTCACAGTCTTTTCTTGGATTTTTAGCAGGGTTACATGTGAATCTCAGACACCGATTACACCTGTTTAATTAACAATACAGCAATTTTAACAGGGCAATGTGGTCTAGAGAAAAATGTTACATTATGCACTTGACATTTCATTTAAAGAGTTCCTTTAGAACTAAAAGGTTTCACTGTAACAGATTTTGAATGCACTTTATGGAACACGATTGCTGACTAATTAGGGCCTAGGTAATTCTAAAGGCACTACACATCTGACATTCAACCAGAGGGTGTTCTCTAGACATATTGACACACTGAAGCTTTTTCTTCTTTAAGTACCTGCACAATCATTTCCCATCAGCTTTCTGTATGGGATCATGGAGCACACAAGAGGTTGGGTTCATATGAATGAACTCCACTAAGAAATGGCACCAAATACTTAATACTGAGACTTCCTGTTAAAACTGTTTCAGATAGGTGGCAATTCCACTCTGTTTGCTGTCACCAATGAGATGAAACTACAAATTGCTGGTTGGGGGACAGGGACATAGAACCAATTTCTCAACCAAGTGTGTTTTATAGCTGTGGCACCATCATTACCATTCAGCACAGGTGTTTCTGTTTGCGTCATCATCAAATGTTTTGTCCCATGTGTAAGAGTTTATAAACCCTTCAAGGGAGGCCCCCGGCACATGAATACTAGCTTCGAATCAGTCAGTGTTCAGGACAGGACACACCCGTTTGCAGTACTGAAGTCACCATCCTGAGACTGGCCAATAGGAACATACCCTCCATATTCTTAGTCATATGCGATCAGTTGGGCTTTTAAAACTCATTTGATTAGACACGCTGAGGTCTGTACTGCTGTTGAGAGTCTGCTTATAAAGATTTCTTTCTTTTCTTTTTTTTTTTTATGAGACAGGGTTTCTCCATATTATTTTGGAGGCTATCGGTCCAGCCCGGCCTCGAACTCACAGAGATCCGCCTGCCTCTGCCTCCCGAGTGCTGGGATTAAAGGCGTGCGCCACCACCGCCCGGCAAAGATTTTTTTCTTATTAAAATGTTCTTTTGAGTTTCATGTATGAGTACAGTATTTACGTCATTTACGCCCCTCCCAAGCCTTCAGTGTCCACCCTTGCTCACTTTCTAATCCATGACCTCATCTTTACTGTTGTTCCATAGATACATAGGTGTACACACACACACACACACACACACACACACACACGCGACTTTAGTTTTTAATTGCGTGTGTGGGTGTGTTCACGTGCGAGTCCACGTGCCCACAGGGCCCATGAGAGCACATACGATACCCGGAGCTGCAGCTGCGGGTGGTGGTTGAGCCATCCGAAGCGGGTGCTGGGAAAGACCTGGGATCCTCTGCAGGACACTGTGTGCTCTTCACCACGGAGGTCTCTACAGCTCTCACAAAGATTTTCTGTCTCACTGTGTTTGTGGTTATGAAACACGGTTTATTGCTCTAAACAGAAATAGTTCCTCTGGGACCCCTCCTCCTCGAGGGGAACTTCTCAGCAATTAAATCGTTGTCTTGGCTTGAGGAAAACATTCCCTCCCTGTACCATAGACGCAGACAGATGGCTATGGCTGTGGCCCTTGGGTACACGGCCATCTGCACGTGTTCCTAGAGGAGTCACCCCAGTCCCTTCCCGATGTGGTGTTTCCGAAGCTGCTGTTCCTCTGGAGTCGCCCACGCCCATCTCACTTGGATCCCAGGGCCTCCTCCCACTTAACAGCTGACTCGGAGTTCTTGGGAATTGTTGGAAATATGGATTGCATCTTACTTCGAAAGTCCTTCATCTAGAAGAAAAAAATATCAAATGTCAGAAAAAGGGAGGAACAGATGAAGCGCTTAGCGGCAGCATCTTGCTGAGTGGAAAACACTCCACGCCTCACGGCTGCCACGCAAACGACAGAGCAGTGAAGCTGAGGACTGTACTCCTCACCGTGACACAATAGCCGTTCTTCCAGGTGTGAATCCACTGCTAAACACCAGACAACCCTGCTCCAGAAGGCAACGTCTTCACCATACGGCTTCCCCGGCACGTGCATCCACGGCAGGATGCGAGGTGGCTTTCACTTACAGAGATGCAGCATGCAATAGAATCTCTGTCCATTTAGATTCACGATTACACACGGGCCATTCAAACAGAGATGCAGCGCGCAATAGAATCTCTGTCCATCTAGATACACGATTACACTCAGGCCATTCCAAGTCAGACGTTTAGAGCAGGAAAGAAAAACTAATGACAGGTATACTAGAATATTCGCATGTGCCAGTGTGAAGGAACTCACATTGAAATTTCACCAGCGAAAGGCAATCGAAGCCAGAGTCAAGGAGGGGTCTGAAGGGTCACACCAAGTGCAGACCTGTAGGTAAGGCACCAGTGGTTTGTAGGAGGACCGTCTCTCTAGTGCACACTCCAACCCATCCTTTTCCGTGTACGTGGCCCTGCCACGGCAGAGCTGTCTCGGTAACAACACATGGTCCAGGCAGCCACACCCATCACAGTTTTCTTTGGACCTAGGTGCTGAGCTGGACAAAGCTTCAGGACTCTGCAACAACCAATCACTTCTGTGGGAGGCTACTGGAGATACAGGTAACATTTCTTCTTTCTTCCTCTCTTTTGCTGTTGGTGATATGTGCTTATTTCAAATGGAGGCTAAATCTTTACCCTGTTGACAAACTCAGGGGTTACATTGTTTTCAGTATTTGTAAACTCTAAGCTAGTACCCCCAGCCTCCATGTCATACACTTGGCGACATTGGTGGTGGAGAGACCACTGCTCATATCCCAGCCCCAGCCCCTCTGTTTCCTCACCGGCACCCACACAGGCAGAAAGGGGACGGTAGTTACCTGCCTGAAGACTTGTACGGACAAGGTGGGTAGTGAGCGCAATGTGCCGTTCCCAGCTCATGGTGAGTCCTCAGTCTGTGAGGGCCATGGCCACGGTAGCATTATCCAGATGTGTGTGCTATACTCCAAAACCAAAGCTCACACGGATGTAAATATCACGGCGTGTTTACTAAAAGCATGGCTGTATAGTTGTGGACCATTTGGTGTGACTATTCTCAGCATTTTATGGCATCTGTAGGAGGAGGCCCACCATATGGATGCTCTAGACCCATTTGCTAATCTTTGCATACCTAGGCAAACCCTGAACCCCCAAAGCACCACATTTCCCAGTGCCCGTCTCGTGTTAGGCAAATGTGGTAACCACTGCTCACGTCTAGACACTTCGCCAGCCAGATGCTAGTCTTGGGCACACACATGGGCATTGCCTCTGCCTATGTTTCTCGCTGGGCGGGGCTATGATGACGCTTCACGAGAGGTTCTCCACAGCACCAGTGGCCGTGCTGTACTGGACTAGAACAGGGAGGGTTCTCTGTTGTGGTCACAGTTGCTGTGACTACCAATGTGCGTTTCGCAGCAGGGCTGACACAGATGCTAAATACCCAAGAGTCACATCAACAAGTGCTTGTCAAAAACGCCAGTCGCACAGCCTATGAAGGAACTTTGCATAGAGGTTTGGAATGGAAAGCCCAATGCCTCTCTGGCCACAGTTTGCAGGACGCTGTTCCTTGCCTTTCTGGCTGATGTCTTTTACAGTTTATGTTGTGTTGGTCTGTGTAGCGTTACAGTACAAGCACACTTGTTTCCCTCATCAGTGGTACTTGTCATCGGCTGCTAGGAATGGAGAGGCAGGACAAACAGATGAGGCTGGGAGGTGGGGTGTGCGGTCGCTGCTCTGTCTCCTCATCCCTGATCTCATTGTCTGTCTTTCAATCCCGAGTACTGTATTACTTATTCCTGAGGTCATAAGTGAGTTAGTTACTAGAGGGAATCATACCTGAAATCACCCATCCAGGAGTAGTCAGGCTTCAGACTGAGATGCAGGACATCTCAGACGTGGACACTGAGGACTTGGGGTAAAGGACATGGCTGAGCCCTGTGCCTTCAGGTTGTGGAGGATGGACACCCAGAGTTCACACATAGGCTGTAAACAGGCTCTCAGGTTGCTTCAAACCAAGGGGCTCCATGGGGTTTCAAGTTTTCATTACTTATATTTATGTGGACAGTATCTATGTCAAATATCTATCAGTGAAAGTCACACAAAGGTCAATGGGTTATTCCCCTATTTAAAGATGCCTCTGAAAACAGATTTGAAGATTGAGTAAAATTAAGTTTAATCTGGACCTAAATATACTAAGGATAAGTCGCAGCTACTGCCATGGAACTTTCCCTCTGCCCCAGAATTTGATGAATGTGAACATTCTAGTCACACGACTCCACAGCAGAACTCTGGGATCTCTTCCTCCCTTGTTACTTTGACCAGGGAGAAGTTTTTTCATGCTATGGGTTGCAGGGCCTCTGTGAGCAGCCACAGGCTGTTTCCTGCAAACTTGAGGAGGTATTCCATGCAGGGATTAAGGTATCACTGTATTCCCTGGAGTAATGAACCTACAGCTCCCAGAACCTTGCCCTGAAATTACACCGGCCTCATGTCAGCTGGGAACATGATCACAATTAATTTATCAGAAATATGGACATTCAGGGAACTTGGTCTGACTGATAGTTTAGATGTTACAAGAGAACCAAGGTTATGCCTCTAATATTGCTCCCCCTCATGCTCCAATAGCTTCCTTGGGAGCTTTTGAATCAGTATGCCAGGATTGAGAACAGCCAGCAGTGTGGCTTAGAGTGTGTATGCCTGGTGCTGGCGTATTGATCATTTACCCCCCAACAGTGATCAGGGCAAGTGCTATCCCCCTTCTAAAGTCAGCAACGGAAGCTTCCAGCAACCAGATAAGCGTGTCATCCAGCTGGGGAGGCAGGTGTGACTGCATGGCCGTGTGTGCACTCTGCAAGCATGCGCAGTCGGGTGCTGCCCCGCACTACCATGGCATGTCTAGGCTGTGGAAAAAGAAACTGAAAACCATTCTCATTCATTGTGTATTGAAAAATTTCTTAACATATCAGGCTTATCTCTAATCTCACAAATCCTTACGGAATCAATTCTAACAGGCAGGCAGCTGTTGGCACTAAAAGCTGAGTTAGAATTTTTTTTTTCCCTGTCCTCTTCAGCTTCTGTTTCCACATGTGGGTTCAGGCACAGCCAGTCTCATTAGAGGCTCTAAAATCCCCTGGATGCGGGGGTGGGGGGGGTGGGGAGCGGGCAGAGGTGATTTAGGAACCTGCTGGTAGGGCTGCTGCATAAACAGAAGACCACTGGTTACTAATAGCGGGAGTTAAAACGCAGCAAGGCTGTGAACACGATATCTGAATGGGAAATGGTGTCTTCCCCTTGGGGTTGGTGATGTGTCAGGAACCAAAAACTTTGGGCTGTTAGTTAACCTTCACAATTCTGTGCAGAGAAATGATGACTCCAACCCAACATACAAGAAAGCAGAGGTCAGAGGTTAATTTGCTTTGCTTCTAAGTGACACGGCTTGAAAGTATGACTGTCTGACCGATACCCAGGACTCTCCCTGTGGCCACTCTGGTTCTGTGAGCTAGAAAACAAAGTGCCCCTAAGCCTTTTACCCCGTGCCACCTTTCACTGAAAATGATTTAAAGCCATGAACACACTCTTGAACATTTTAGCTTGGATGGTATGAGGGGCACATTACTAGTGGTCACCAGTGGTCAGTACCACCCGCTTCTGAAGATGGGGTTCACCAGTGGTCAGTACCACCCGCTTCTGAAGATGGGGTTCACCAGTGGTTAGGATCACCCACTTCTGCAGATTACACTTCTTCTTGTCCTTGAAGCTAGGCAGCCATGTGACTAGCGAGTATGGAAAAAAGAAACATGCCACATCTAGACATTTAACTGCAGAAGCGCAACTCTCTAGACCTCTCTTTGTATTGAAAGAGAGGAACCCTGTGTATCCATGACGGTGCCTCAGGGACAAAGCAAGCTGAAGTGCAGTTAGGGAGCTTCCCAAGACATCAGCTTGAACCTATATGGACGATCCATGAGTGGACTAACTTTCTGTCAAGGCAGAGTTAGAGGATGTGTATGTGTGTGCACAAGTGTATGCATGCATGCAGATGGAGGCCAGGGGCCAACCTCATGTTGTTCCTCAAGAGCTACCCACCTTGCTTTTTGAGGCAGGGTCTCTTACCAGGACCCAACGCTTGCTGGGTAGGACAGGTGAGTGGCCAGGGAGTCCCAGAGGTCTGCCTGTCTCTGCAGTCCCAATGCTAGCAGTTTCGGGGATTGAACTCAGGTCCTCATGCTTGTATGGCAAAGCACTTCCTGGTATCACCCCAGCATGGGATTATAACACAGCTCAGTCTGTGCTGACTAGGTTAGGAAGAATGACGGATGCAAGGCCTCTCTGGGGCCTGAAGGAAGGCTACAGAAAAGCTTGAGGCTCTATGAGATAAACAGATACCCTGCAAAGGAGCTCCCCAAGCCTGGGAAGTCTCCACCACCGAAACATAGCTCCCATGGTCAACTCAGCCCATCACTTGGTCCAGTTTTATATCACCAACTCCTGGGGAATCAGAACATTTCTCCATCTTCTCAATGAGTAAGTATAGGAGTTCCGCTCAACAAGAAAGGGCCCATATACAATCTTACATACAAGCATGCAAACACACACACACACACACACACACACACACACACACACACATACACACACACACACATACATGCTCTTTTAAATGGGAACATTGCTGCTGGTGTCTATTCAGTAATATTGATTAATCATCATTGGCCTGGTTCAGAGAGCGGGCACTGACATCCTGTTGATGCAAGAATCCAGAGTTGAGGCATCCAGACAGTGTTACTGCTACGTTTGGTGGCATTAGGAAGGCTAACATGGAGCTGCCCGCATCCCTGTTATTTATGTAAAGGGCGGAGCAGTGTCTTTGCTTTCTTCCAAACCATTCTGCATCACACCCACACAGTCCAGAGTGCACAGTCAGCCAACCGATTTAGAAATAAAAAGTGAACCCACGACTTCCTGAGAAATACAATCCCTAAGTGCCTATTAAAATGGCCAGGTCTTAAGCTGCGATTTAACAATAGGACAATTCACAAGCTGCTGCCTTCTCCTCGTGTGAGATAAACTGAGCAGCAGGGCCACTCTCTTAGGCCAAGGCCACAGTAAGGCTAAGACCCAGCCCAGCAAAAACAATTTACAACCTGTATCTTGATTCAACGTGATAACGGGTTCAAAGGCAGTTCTAAAAGGCTTCCACCAAATCAACCTTCATTTTTAGTAACTGCAATCTTAGCGGTGCTTTGGACCCTTTACCAAACCAGCGCAGCTCCTGTATCACCTCTGCAAGCCAGCCCTTCCCACAGCCTGACCACTACGGCTCCATGTTAAGTTGGCTTCACAAGCATAATACATGGATTCTCTCTCTCCCTTCCCTCCTCTCTTCCATCTCTCCCTCCTTACCTCTCTTCTCTCTCCCCCTACTCTTGAAGCAGCTGCAGTCCCCATTACACGACATCTCTAAAAAATATTTGTATGTACAAGTGTGTTGCCTGCATGTATGTATAGGACTATGTGGGTGCTGGGAACTGAACCTAGGTCCTTGCAAGAGCAGCCAAGTGCCACCCTTCCTAATGTCTTAATGGCTCGGGTAGTTCATTCCAAAACAACAAAGGCAGTCTCAAAATGTATCACAAGAAATGTTACATATTTTTGTATGCAGGAGTTATTTTTTCTAAGATCTATTTATTTTATGTGTATGAGTGCTCTGTCTGCATGTACATCTTGCCAGAAGAAAGCATCAGATCCCAGTAGAGATGACTATGAGTCGCCCAGTCGCCCTGTGGGTCCTGGGAATTGAACCCAGATCTCTGGAAGAGCAGCCAGTGCTCTTAACCACTAAGACATTTCTCCAGCCCACAGGAGTTACTTCTTAAAATGGCCTAAGAGTGGATACAGATATAAGCCAACCAACATGTTCACATTCTAGTTGAAAGTCATTAATTTCTTGAATACCACACCAACAGGCAAGAACCAGTAATTCAACACCAAAAATACCTTTAATGCAGTCACTGAAAAGGCAAAGTCACCCAGCCGCTGGATACCACACACCAAACAAGAGACCTCCAACCTTCAGAGCCCCCAATCCAGCCCACATCCGCAGGCGCCGTGTCTGTTGTCTTCGGTATCTTTAGAAGGAAGGCTTAAAACTTGATGTCTTTCTGAATTTTCCAAAGCGTTTCTGCGCTCTTTACCATCTGGGCTTCCTCTACGGGGCTTAGCTTTACCTTTATGATATCCGAGATGCCATTCTCTCCCAGGATACAGGGCACACTGAGAAACACCTCATGTTTTATTCCGTAGAGACCTTTGATTTTGGTGGAAACCGGATGTGTTTTCCTGAGGTTCTTCAGAATGCTCTCGGCAATATCGGCCACAGACAGGCCGATGGCCCAGGACGTGTAGCCCTTCATCTTGATGATGTTATAGGCACTGGCAATCACTTCCTTGTGGACGTTCCCCCACTGCTCGGGGTCTCTGCTAGTTCCTATTGCGGAATTCACCTCTTTCAGAGGCATCCCGGCGATGTTCACTCCACTCCACACAGGGACACTCGAGTCTCCGTGCTCTCCAAGGACCCACCCGTGGCAGCTTTCCGAGTGGATCCCAAGCCTCTCCCCAAGCATGTAACGGAAACGAGCAGTGTCTATGTTACAGCCACTCCCAATAATACGGTTTTTGGGAAACCCGCTCAGTTTCCAGGTTACGTAAGTTAAGATGTCCACTGGATTGGAGACGATAATCATCTTGCAACGAGGGCTGTGCTTGATAATATCGGCAATCATCACCTTAAAGATGGCTACGTTTCGCTGGACTAAATTCAGGCGCGTTTCGTCTTTCACCTGCCGTACCCCTGCTGTGATAACCACTACCTCTGAGTTGGCAGTGACGTGGAAATCTTTGCTGCAAACAATATTTGGCATTTTCATGAAGACACTGCCGTGCTGGAGATCCATCGTCTCACCCATCATCTTGTCTTCGTTACTGTCAACCAGGGCAAGCTCATCAGCCAAGCCTTTTGCCACGATGCTGATGGCACAGGCCATGCCGACTGACCCGGTTCCTATGATGGAGACCTTGTTGCGGAGGACGGGCTTTTCCGAGCTGAAGCTCTGGATAAACTCACCCTTCACGGTCGCCATGGTGGAAGTGGGAGTGACTCGCCACCAGGCCCGGTTGAGGGGGACACTCAGCACCCGACTGGGCCGCAGAGCTATGTTCAGGTTTCCGATATCCACTCCGGCTGCACCTACTCTTTTGCTGGCTCGCAGGATGCCTGTAGCCCAGGCCATGGCAGCTCACTCGGGTGGAGGAAGCGAACCGGGTGAGGAAGACGGTTGAGGCCAGAACGGTCGTCGCCCTGCAGTACAGGCGCAGTTTCTACTCCCACTGCGGCTGCGCAGCCCCCATTCAACAGAGTCGCGCAAGGGCTCAGCGTAGGCTGGGTCCTCCCGGCCCAGCAACCGCAGGCTTGCAGCAAGGCTTGCTTTATAAAGGGCTTTCTCCCCCAGCAAGGAAATACTGGAGTTGCAAACTCATACTCTTTAATGCTGAAATATAACGCCCAGTCCAGACCCCTGGAATTAATTGTTTTGTTCTCAGTGTGAAAATCAGGCTAAAACAAACAGCATGGCGGTCTACCAAGAGACAGCATGGCGGGAGAAGCGGGGCTCCTCGTTCAGTGCATCCACATGGAGGACCTTTTCTTCCCCAGCACCTCCCCCAAAACTACATTGAGTTTACATTTAATATGATTTAACAACAAAAACCAAGAATACTGTGTGCAGTAATTCCAATTCCAATGTTGCAGACAGATGTATAACATATAAATCTTCATTATAAAAAATACTCAAAACAATGCGATTCTTTAGTTCATGTAGAAATATTTTCCTTTTTGGAAGTAAATCCTTGAAAAGTCTAAGATACATTTTTTTTTTTTGTCTTTCAATGTGTGAGTTCTAGAGCTTTTTTCTCCCGCTGCTTGTGTCTGTTTCATCTGCCCTGACATTGCATACTAACTAGATACTGGGCGCACTCCTCATTTTTTGCCTGTATCATAACCGTGGTGCACACCTGGACAGGGCAGCAGGAGAGGGGAGGGAGGGTTAGTACAAGCTGACTGTACAGCCACGCCCCTTTTTTCTCCTGCCAGAACTAAGGGCACATAATGCCCCTGCGGAGGACCCAGGTTGGTGGCCTTACCGCTTTAGCTCCGGTCACAAGGACACCTGACATGCATTGGTTTCTGTGTGGCACCGAGTCCACCTGGCAAATATAAACCCACTCAGGCACACACTTTCACATGAATAAAGAGATAAACAACAACAGAGACAGAAATCCTTCCCCACGCCCTACAATTTCTCACGGAGAAAGATGCCCTATAGCCCTCCACTAAAATGAAGGTGACCTCAGAATGGCAGATCAACTTTGAGCCAATGTGTAAATTAGATTATTGACTAAAGAAGTGAAATACAATTACTTTGCAAACCTCTGACGCTGGTATATCTCATCTCTTGTGTGTTTTTCCGGACAGTCTTGTGAACTAATTTCAAATCTCTGAGGAGATGCAAACATTACAGTTTATGACAAGCCTAATAAACTACAAATGCCCAGGAAACACAATGGCATGTTCTCCTCCACCACGTGATGAATGCTCAGTGTGTCCTCTTGGAAACATAGCGAGCCGCTATCCTAGAATGAGGGACCTGGGTACATGTAACCCTGTCATCATCTGGCAAGATTAGTTATTTTATAGCCAGACTCCAAGAATGCCTCTCCTCCCACTGCGGGAATACAGTCCAGGAGAGCAGGTACCCAGCAGGGGAGTGTGGAGTTAGTGGCTGATGGTGTTTATGTTTCCAAGCCAGAAGGGCTTCCTGGAGAAAGCAGAGCCACTGTGACACAACAGTCTAAACAGACAGGTGAGGTCTCTGCACACGGGCAATCATATTTATGGCAGAAAGCTGTCCAGTTAAAAACTGGAATAAAAAAAATGGTCATCTTCATTAAATGGTGACCACCGTTTTAGAAGAATGTATGTAGAGATCTCACCTGCAGCACTGATCACGGCCATTTGGGCGTGGTCACAGGTAGGTGGGGGAGGGCAGAGACAAAGGTCAAGGAAGGAGGGGTCACGCTCTTCCTTGGGGTTCCGGTCGAGGTTGGAGACCAGCAGAGTGCTGACCTCAGTTCTCGGCTTCTCACATAAGTGATTTCTCCCTAATAAGATAACAAGTGGCATCCCTATCCTGTGTGTGGTAATCCTCTGCGGCATCCGCATCAGAAGAAACCATTAAAATGGACCACAAACTATCACTGATGGCTGTAATTTCTTTTACCCCACTTTTCACTTGAAATATTTAGCTTGACAACTGTTCCCACCTTCTTTCTGTAATGATTGCTGTGACCAGTCAAGTTGTTTTCTAGAATGAGTGCTCTTGAGTTTCAGATTCAAGGACATGATGACTCTTAGCTGGGCAGATCCTATCCAGTCATTTTCTTTCCAGAGATTGAGACTCTTCAGAAATACCATCTTGATGACAGCCGGCTCTTCAGTCTTTCCCTCAGCCACAACTAAATCAATTTTGAGAGGGAAAATGACAACATTCCAAAATAAAGAATACCCCAAACAAAGCAGCTTTTTATTTACAGTAAGTCTCAAGAAGCCAAGCATTAAGACAGGCAAGATGTTTGTGACCTGAGAAGATGGAGGACTACTCAAAGATGCACGGAGCCAAATACAGCCAAATAGCTCCTAATGGCTTTCTATTTTAGGCGACTCATTACTCTTTTCAATTGAAGACCAAGTCAAATTATCTATTAAAAATGAAGCTGGGTGGTGGTGGCACACACTTTTAATCCTAGCACTCAGGAGGCAGAGGCAGGCAAAAATCTCTGAGTTTGAGGCCAGCCTGGTCTACAGAGCGAGTTCCAGGACAGCCTCCAAAACAATACAGAGAAACCCTGTCTCCAAAAACCAAAACAAACAAAAACCCCCACAAACTATTTAAAAATTGAGAACTGGTGACAGTTACCTTGATGAGGAATGAAGGGATGCTAAGAGGGCAGGGCCAGCACCATGGCTGTCCTGGAAGCATCTGCACTGCAGCTCCTGCAAGGAGGGTGCTCTCTGCGGAACACTGCAAGGAGGGTGCTCCCTGAGGAACACTGCAAGGAGGGTGCTCCCTGTGGAACACAGCAAGGAGGGTGCTCCCTGCGGAACACAGCAAGGAGGGTGCTCCCTGCGGAACACTGCAAGGAGGGTGCTCCCTGCGGAACACTGCAAGGAGGGTGCTCCCTGCGGAACACTGCAAGGAGGGTGCTCCCTGCGGAACACAGCAAGGAGGGTGCTCCCTGCGGAACACTGCAAGGAGGGTGCTCCCTGTGGAACACAAGCAAGGAGGGTGCTCCCTGCGGAACGCTGCAAGGAGGGTGCTCCCTGCGGAACGCTGCAAGGAGGGTGCTCCCTGCGGAACACTGCAAGGAGGGTGCTCCCTGCGGAACACTGCAAGGAGGGTGCTCCCTGCGGAACACAGCAAGGAGGGTGCTCCCTGCGGAACACAAGCAAGGAGGGTGCTCCCTGCGGAACACAAGCAAGGAGGGTGCTCCCTGCGGAACACAAGCAAGGAGGGTGCTCCCTACAGAACGCAAGTAGAAATTTCTGTTGTGATTTGAAAACTATAACATAAAACTAGTTAAAAATTTTAAATAAAAAATTTGGTGTGTTGCTCATAGATTAAAGTGATCCTCGTGTGAGGGTATTTACAAATTTTTTTTTTTCGAGACAGGGTTTCTCTGTATTGTTTTGGAGGCTGTCGGTCCAGCCTGGCCTCGAACTCATGGAGATCTGCCTGCCTTTGCCTCCCGAGTGCTGGGATTAAAGGCATGCACCACCACCGCCCGGCGGTATTTACAAATCTTAGAACCCAAAAGTATTTTTTCGCTGGAGAGCCAGTTCCAAGTAGAACACAGGTATAGGAAGAGGATCCACCAGAAAAGCACTCAGAAGGACTCTGTTTAAGAACTAAACACTAAACTCGCAGCCCAGAAGAATAGCGGGTGAGGACTGGGCGTGGTCAGGCAGTGAGTGGGCGAGGACTGGGCGTGGCCAGGAAGCGAGTGGGTGAAGACTGGGCGTGGTCAGGCAGTGAGTGGGTGAGGCTCTACCAAGTAAACCTTTTAACAGGAAGCCATAGAAGGGTTTTAAATGAAGCATCATCCATCTGACTTACATTTTTAAAATCTCTCTAGCTGCACATGGGAAAAAAGTCGAGGGGAAATGACGGGCAGGAAACGGTCTATGTGCAAGCAAAAGATGAGCACAGGCCATGAGGAGAGAGGCCATGCTTGGCCAAAGGCAGGACGCGCTCATGGCTTAGAAGAAACAGGAAACGAGACAATCCCAGGCTTTGGACTTGAACTGGGGGCTAAGATGATTAAGGCATCTCCTCAATGGGGAAGATGAAGAGAAGAACACAGAGAGTCAAGAATTCCGGCTGGTGTGTGTTGTCTCCAGACACACCATGAGACAAGTCGGTGAAGATGGCTCTATGTATCTGGGAAGTAAGTCTGAAGGGCTGGAGCTACGTATCTGGAATCACCACATGGACAGATGGCTTTAAATGCCAGAGTCTACATGAGGGAGCTAAGCGAGTAGGGAGAGAGAGATCAGAAGACGGGCGTGAAGCCATTGGTCACTCTGACAGTAGACAAGCCAGAGAGGCAGGCAGAGAACTGTTTCCTCAGGAAGGAGGCTCAGTTGCGTCAGAGGCTATGGAGGGGCAGGAACAGGACAAAGACCTAGATCTGGCAATGGGAGGAGACTGGTGACCTGGACAACTTCAGTGCCCGCTAGGATGAGGCTGGGTGGAGGGCAGGGGTAGCAAGCGGAGGCAGCAGTGGCAGGCAACTTACTTGAGCCCATTTCTGTGCTGTGCTGCTGGCCCGAGGAGAGGAAGGACTGTCAGAAGAGGGAATTCAGAGCTGGAATAAACCACAGCGTTTCTGTGCACGCTGCAGCGGAAAAGGACAGCCAGCAAAGGCCCTACTGTGACGACAGCAGTCTCTGGACAGATGCCCTGGCGGCGGCGGTGCTGGGGAGGAGGCAGACGCTACTGCCCAAAAGGCTGCAGCCACAGGGAGGGCTCAGCCCCGGAAGTGTGGCTCAGACACAGGCGGAAGCTCAAGCATCCAGTAGCACGAGGGGCTGCAGTGAGGAGAGGGGAACACGGAAGCTACCATACCCTGTGGGAAGAAGTGGTCCCCAAAGGGGATGGCTGTGGCGCGGAGGAAGGGCACGACGGACAGGGAGCACCTGGGGAATGATAAGCATGCTGAGATGTAATTACGAACGGCAGTCTGGCCTTCCAGGCGGTTTTGTGGGCGTTGCCACCCAGGAAGCGTGACTGGTATGCAGGGTGGGAGTAAAGGGCAGTTCAGTGGGGAGGAATCACACACGACACCCAGGAAGCGTGACTGGTATGCAGGGTGGGAGTAAAGGGCAGTTCAGTGGGGAGGAATCACACACGACACCTAGAGTGTACCCAAGTACCAGTGCCCAGCCCAGCAGGCCCTAAGCCTAAAGCACTAGGTGGGAATCAGGTCACCCGGTACTAGAACCAGAAGGAATAAAACCATGAGGGCCAAGGACTGTAAGCATTGCTGTGTATTCAGTACAGCTGCACTG